ATCTCTTTCGCCTGGGATGGGGAATCGCTTTGGCTCTATGCCTTACATTTTTCAAATCAAAGCGCCGAATACAACAGGTGTAGACATTAGTGAAATGCTTACTTACAAGCCCTTAACCAACAATGCATTTTTAAGAAAATGTAAAAAATAAATAAAAAAAATAACAGTAGGGAGGCTATATACAGGGGGGTACCGGTGCAGAGTCAATGTGCGGGGGCACTGGCTAGTCGAGGTAATTGAGGTAATATGTACATGTGGGTAGAGTTAAAATGACTATGCATAAATGAGCAGAGTAGCAGCAGCGTAAAAGAGGGGGGTAGGGTGGGGGGTAGCAATGATTAGCTGTTCAGGAGTCTTATGGCTTGGGGGTAGAAGCTGTTGAGAAGCCTTTTGTACCTAGACTTGGCGCTCCGGTACCGCTTGCCGTGCGGTAGCAGAGAGAACAGTCTATGACTAGGGTGGCTGAAGTCTTTGACAATTTTGAGAGCCTTCCTCTGACACCGCCTGGTATAGAGGTCCTGGATGGCAGAAAGCTTGGCCCCAGTGATGTACTGGGCCGTACGCACTACCCTCTGTAATGCCTTGCAGTCGGAGGCCGAGCAGTTGCCATACCAGGAGGTGATGCAACCTTTCAGGAGGCTCTCGATGGTGCAGCTGTATAACTTTTTGAGGATCTGAGGACCCATGCCAAATCTTTTCAGTCTCCTGAGGGGGAATAGGCTTTGTCGTGCCCTCTTCACGACTGTCTTGGGGTGTTTGGACCATGATAGTTCGTTGGTGATGTGGACACCAAGGAACTTGAAGCTCTCAACCTGTTCCACTACAGCCCTGTCGATGAGAATGGGGGTGTGCTCAGTCCTCTTTTTTTCCCTGTAGTCCACAATCATCTCCTTTTGTCTTGATCACGTTGAGGGAGAGGTTGTTATCCTGGCACCACACGGCCAGGTCTCGGACCTCCTCCCTATAGGCTTTCTCATCGTTGTCGGTGATCAGGCCTACCACTGTTGTGTCATCAGCAAACTTAATAATGGTGTTGGAGTCGTGCCTGGCCATGCAGTCATGGGTGAACAGGGAGTACAGGAGGGGACTGAGCACGCACCCCTGAGGGGCCCCCGTGTTGAGGATCATCGTGGCAGATGTGTTGTTACCTACCCTTACCACCTGGGGGTGGCCCGTCAGGAAGTCCAGGATCCAGTTGCAGAGGGAGGTGTTTAGTCCCAGGATCCTTAGCTAAGTGATGAGCTTTGAGGGCACTATGGTGTTGAATGCTGAGCTGTAGTCAATGAACAGCATTCTCACATAGGTGTTCCTCTTGTCCAGGTGGGAAAGGGCAGTGGGGAGTGCAATAGAGATTGCATCATCTGTGGATCTGTTGGAGCGGTATGCAAATTGGAGTGGGTCTAGGGTTTCTTGGATAATGGTGTTGATGTGAGCCATGACCAGCCTTTCAAAGCACTTCATGGCTACAGATGTGAGTGCTACGGGTCGGTAGTCATTTAGGCAGGTTATCTTAGTGTCCTTGGGCACAGGAACTATGGTGGTCTGCTTGAAACATGTTGGTATTACAGACTCAGTCAGGGACATGTTGAAAATATCAGTGAAGACACTTGCCAGTTGGTCAGCACATGCTCGGAGTACATGTCCTGGTAATCCATCTGGCCCTGCGGCCTTGTGAATGTTCACCTGCTTAAAAGTCTTACTCACATCGGCTATGGAGAGTGTGATCACATAGTCATCCGGAACAGCTGGTGCGCTCATGCATGCTTCAGTGTTGCTTGCCTCGAAGCGAGCATAGAAGTGATTTAGCTCATCTGGTACGTTGTTCCACTGGGCAGCTCGTGGCTGTGCTTCCTTTTGTAGTCTGTAATAGTTTTCAAGCCCTTCCACATCCTACGAGTGTAAGAGCCGGTGTAGTATGATTCAATCTTAGTCCGATATTGACTCTTTGCCTGTTTGATGGTTCGTCGGAGGGCATAGCGGGATTTCTTATAAGTGTCCGGGTTAGAGTCCCGCTCCTTGAAAGCGGCAGCTCTACCCTTTAGCTCAGTGCGGATGTTGCCTGTAATCCATGGCTTCTGGTTGGGGTATGTACGTACGGTCACTGTGGGGACGACGTCATCGATGCACTTATTTATGAAGCCGGTGACTGATGTGGTGTACTCCTCAATGCTATCTGAAGAATGTATGCACTCACTACTGTAAGTCGCTCTGGATAAGAGCGTCTGCTAAATGACTAAAATGTTAAATGTGAATGAATATTCCGAAATTACGTTGCCACGAGCAGCACTGCAGATATTGCGATGAGTGAAATGCAACTTTCGCTCACTGTCACACAAAATATCTGCACATGTGCCTGGATTTCGCTTCACACTTTTACAAAGTGGTAGCCACGGGACCAAAACAGCGACGAAGTTGAGCCTCGCGCTTCAACGCCCGAAGTAGTTGCGGAAATTGATCCACTATATGTACTTTCTGCATCTACGTCATATCACAGTCTACCTTTAAAGTCCAGGTAGAATATAATGGATTCGGAAAGTACTCAGACCCCATAATTTTTGTTACATTTTGTTACGTTAGCCTTATTCTAAAATGGAACGTTTTTTTTTTTTTTTTTTTTCAATCTACACACAATACCCTGTAACTACAAATCGAAAACAGGGTTTTAGAAATTCTTGCAAATGTATTAAAATTAAAAAACAGATACCTTATTTACATAAATATTCAGACCCTTTGCTATGAGACTCGAAGTTGAGCTCCGGTGCATCCTGTTTTCATTGATCATCCTTGATTTTTCTACAACTTGATTGGAGGCACTTGTGGTATATTCAATTGATTGGACATGATTTGGAAAGGCACACACCTGTCTATATAAGGTCCCACAGTTGACAGTGCATGTCAGAGGAAAAACCAAGCCATGAGGTCGAAGGAATTGTCCGTAGAGCTCCGAGACAGGATTGTGTCGAGGCACAGATCTGGGGAAGAGTACCAAAACATTTCTGCCGCATTGAAGGTCCCCAAGAACACCGTGGCCTCCATCATTCTTAAATGGAAGAAGCTTCGAACCACCAAGACTCTTCCTAGAGCTGGCCGCCCGGCCAAACTGAGCAATCGGAGGAGAAGGGCCTTGGTCAGGGAGGTGACCAAGAACCCGATGGTCACTCTGACAGAGCTCCAGAGTTCCTCTGTGGAGATGGTTGTCCTTCTGGAAGGTTCCCCCATCTCTGCAGAACTCCACCAATCAGGCCTTTATGGTAGAGTGGCCAGACGGAAGCCACTCCTCAGTAAAAGGCACATGACAGCCCGCTTGGAGTTTGCCAAAAGACACCTAAAGGACTGTCAGACCATGAGATAAAAGATTATCTGATCTGATGAAACCAAGATTAAACTCTTTGGCCTGAATGCCAAGCGTCACGTCTGGAGGAAACCTGGCACCATCCCTACAGTGAAGCGTGGTGTCAGCATCTTGCTGTGGGGATGTTTTTCAGGGAGGGACTGGGAGACTAGTCAGGATCGAGGGAAAGATGCAAAGTACAGAGAGATCCTGGATGAAAACCTGCTCCAGAGCACTCAGGACATCAGACTGAGACGAAGGTTCATCTTCCAACAGGACAACGACCCTAAGCTCACAGCCAAGACAACGCAGTAGTGGCTTCAGAACAAGTCTCTGAATGTCCTTGAGTGGCCCAGTCAGAGCCCGGACTTGAACCCGATCGAACATCTCTGGAGAGACCTGAAAATAGCTGTGCAGCAACGCTCCCCATCTAACATGACAGAGCTTGAGGATCTACAGAGAAGAATGGAGAAACTCCCCAAATACAGTTTGTAGTGTCATACAAAAGACTCAAGGCTGTAATCGCTGCTAAAGGTGCTTCAACAAAGTACTGAGGAAAGGGTCTGAATACTTATGTAAATGTGATATTTTAGTTATTTTATTTATTTATAAAAAACTGTCTTTGCTTTGTCATTATGGGGTATGGATTGCGGGGGGGGGGGGGGACCCATTTCATTCATTTTAGAATAAGGCTGTAACTTAATGTGAAGGAGTCTGAATCGTTTCCGAATGCACAATTGTTTGTTAGTGTACAATTGTACAATTTATGCTCCCCGCATATATAAACCACGAAGACGTTTTACATTTTAGTAATTTAGCAGACGCTCTTATCCAGAGCGACTTATAGGAGCAATTAGGGTTAAGTGCCTTGCTCAAGGGCACATCGACTGATTTTTCACCTAGTCAGCTCAGGGATTCAAACGCTCTTAACCACTAGGCTACCTGCGGAAGATTGCCGAAATGGCCCAAACGCATGATTTTGTAATTTTTATAACTGTGCCTACTGTAGTTTAAACATGGTAAACTGGTGCGCACCAAGTTGTACTTCACGTTTTAGTATGGAAAATGGCTGTGAGGATTTTTCTGCAATATTAACAACATATTGACACAATTACAATCTTTATAGAATAAAAATCTAATTTAGCCAATTACATGTGGAAAGACGTTTTTGAGTAAACATCATCAAACCAGCAGCAGATGAAACAAAGTGAATTCTCTCCTTCTCTGTCTGGTTTTAGCTTGCGGCCACCGCTGGATAGCTTTAGGATATTTACTAGCCCGTACCAGTGACAGACTTGGCTATGTTATCGATATATGGCCGTACAAAAATAAGCTCACTTATTTTGCAAGCTAGAAGGAAACAGACACAAATTAATTCTGAAACGGAAGAGGATAGCTAGCTATACATGCTGTCTTTAGCTGATGCCTCTTCAACAAGAGGCAACTGTGACATGTCCCTCAGTATTGATACTTTGTCACAGAAGTTGAATACGTTTGCTATTTGACCTAAATGGTCGTTAATATTGTGTGATTTGTGAATTACCCAATGTTGAAAAAGTCAATTAGTCATAATGTGGGGGCAATAGTGTGTGGCTTTTGCATTCATTTGTGTAGGCGTTCAAGAAGAAATGAATCCAATTACACAGCAATTTATTTTATCAATGTAAAAATGTTGACATACAAGTAGGTTAGATGAACACTTGTTCACCGCTGTGTGTCTGTGTCACTTTCCGATTTAGGTGGAAGCGGGCGGAGAGTCGCTACACCATCGAGCGGGCCTCCATCATCAGCCACTGGAACTGGCTCCAGGCCCACATCTCAGACCTGGAGTACCGCATCCGCCAGCAGACAGACGTCTACCGACAGATCCGTGCCAACAAGGTACAGCACCGCCTCAACATTGGGCTAAATATGCCATTTAGCAGACGCTTTTATCCAAAGCGACTTACAGTCATGCGTGCATAATATAAAAGTAATATGGTAATTTCATCCAAAGCGACTTGCAGAAGTGACAACCTTGTCACTGACATATATTCAGTATATGTGGCCCATGCGGTAGTCAAACCCACAACCCGGGTGTTGCTTCTACCATGCTCTAACCCACTTAACCATTTGAATGACCATTTCTGTCCAGACCTGCAGCATGTACATGTGAAAGTGGCTTGTAAAGAGATTAGCATGAGCAGTGCCACAGATGCCGTGTAGCCTAAATTTGGAGTGCCACTATTCACTCTATTGTGGTAGTACTAGTACAAATATGGCCTACATAAACGTCCTATACACGTTATGCCGTCTTTTTTAAGATAAGATAAGGTCTTAATTGTTGGACATTTAAGTGCAGCAACTTTCACATAAAATAAATCACATTATGCGTCACATAATACAAAAGTAGTATACAGCAGGTAAATTACACCATGTGTAGGATGTGGGTTTGTCTCTCGCTGTGGATGGTAGCCTATACAGTATTATGTAATGTCTGTGGCTGATGTACGGTATTTGACTCCACCCTCAGGGCTCAGTGGAGTTGGGAGGCGTGGCCCCCAGTGCATTGGTGGTGGGCGGGGCAGAAGTTAAGACCGAGACTATTCCCCAGGACTGTCAGGTCACAATCACAGAGTCTGGACCCTGGAGAGGCCAGAATGGCAGGCCGGTCAATGGGGTCCTCAACAGGTACACACACAGAATGCTTAACCTAACAAAGCATAGATTCTTCAAGTGCATCTATTTGGAGGAAGAACCTACGAAAATAAGGCATTAACTTGTTATCTTTTCAAAGATTGATTGGATACGTAATTCATTCACATTGCTGTGGAGTGTCCGTTTCAGCCTGCCTTTGTAAATGAATATTGAGGTGGAGGCCTAGAAGGAATGTCATTTGCTTCAACAAATTGTCTCCCAAGTGCCAATGACTACCCTATTCAAAGAGCACCTTGCATACCAGTCTCCGGCGCTATACAGTTTTTACCCATTTGAGCGCTCTACCCATTGCTTCTTCTCTTCAATGTGTCTTGTCTCTCCTCTCCAGGGTGTCAGAGAGTAACAGCAAACACCAACCCAGCCCCAACGACAGCACCTGTGTGGCAGCCCGTACGCGGCCCTTACTCAACTGCAGACGACGGAGACTTGTACAGCCTAACACAGTACCTAACCTCAATGGCAAGGTATGTTTCTGCATGTGTACTTGCAGATCCTTTTAGATCCATAGTATGCTTTCCTCCTGCCCAGCACTAAAACCAAAATATAACTTATCATTTAATTGCCTTTCTCCAGTGTTGTGTTTTGTTATTTATCCTCTTGTGCTCGTGGATTACATTTGACTGTATTGTGTTATTGATTCTATTGTGTGTTTTGAGTGGGCTGTAAACCTAGGAACATAAGTCCTGAAGGACTAATGGGCATATTAAAACCCATTTGTTCCCAAATCTTTCCCAGACATACCGCTATGCAAATCTTATGCCATTAGTATCCTAACCCGTAATCCATATTGTAAAAAAAAAAAAAAGTTAAAACTAATAATTATTTTCGTTTATTGTGACCAATGGAACAAGCAGTGATCTACCTACAGTGCATTCGGAAAGTATTCAGACCCCTTGACTTTTTCCATAATTTGTTACAGCCTTATTCTAAAATTGTTTTTTCTCCTCATCAATCTACGCACAATAACCCATAATGACAAAGCTAAAATAGGTTTATAGACATTTTTGCAAATGTATTACAAATAAAAAAACATTTACATAAGTATTCAGACCCTTTACTCAGTACTTTGTTGAAGCACCTTTGGCAGCGATTAAAACCTTGGTGTCTTCTTGGGTATGATACTACAAGCTTGGCACACCTGTATTTGGGAGTTTCTCCCATTCTTCTCTGCCGATCCTCCCAAGCTCTGTCAGGTTGGATGGGGAGCGTCGCTGCATAGCTATTTTCAGGTCTTTCCAGAGATGTTCGATCGGGTTCAAGTCCAGGCTCTGGCTGGGCCACTCAAGAATATTCAGAGACTTGCAGGTTTCCTCCAGACGTGACGCTTGGCATTCAGGCCAAAGAGTGCAATCTTGGTTTCATCAGACCAGAGAATGTTGTTTCTCATGGTCTGACAGTCCTTTAGTTGCCTTTTGGCAAACTCCAAGCGGGCAGTCATGTCTCTTCTACTGAGGAGTGGCTTCCTTCTGACCATTCTACCATAAAGGCCTGTGGTGGAGTGCTGCAGGGATGGTTGTCCTTCTGGAAGGTTCTCCCATCACTACAGAGGAACTCCGGTGCTCTGTCAGTGACCATCGGGTTCTTGGTCACCTCCCTGACCGAGGCCCTTTTCCCCCGATTGCTCAGTTTGGCCGGGCGGCCAGCTCTAGGAAGAGTCTCTTGGTGGTTCCAAACTTCTTCCATTTAAAAATGGAGGCCACTTTGTTCTTGGGGAACTTCAATGCTGCAGACATATTTTAGTGCCCTTCCCCAAATCTGTGCCTCGACACAATCTTGTCTCAGAGCTCTAGGGACAATTCCTGCGACCTCATGGCTTGGTTATTGCTCTGACATGCACTGTCAACTGTGGGACCTTTATATAGACTATATAGTGCCTTTCCAAATCATGCCCAATCAATTGAATTTACCATAGGTGGACTCCAATCAAGTTGTAGAAACATCTCAAGGATGATCAATGGAAACAGGATGCGCCTGAGCTCAATTTCGAGTCTCATAGCAAGGGGTCTGAATACTTATGTAAATAAGGTATTTCTGTTTTTTATTTTAAATATTTGCTACAATTTCTAAACCTGGTTTCACTTTGTCATTATGGGGTATTGTGTGTAGATTTTAGGAAAATAATTTATTTCATCCATTTTAGAATAAGGCTGTAACGTAACAATGTGGGAAAAGTGTAGGGGTCTATATTTTAGTCATTTAGCAGACGCTCTTATCCAGAGCGACTTAGTGAGTGCATACATTTTTCATACTGGCCCCCCGTGGGGAATGAACCCACAAGCGCCATGCTCTACCAACTGAGCTACAGGGGACTACACTTTCCGAATGTGCTGTACCTATAGTGCCTTCAGAAAGTATTCATACCCATTGACTTATTCCACATTTTGTTACAGCCTGAATTCAAAATAGATAAAAAAAATCACCCATCTACACACTACCCCATAATGACAAAGTGAAAACATGTTTTTAGAGATGTTTGCAAATGTATTGAAAATGAAATGCATAAATATCTAATTTACATAAATATTCACACCTGAGTCAATTTGTAGAAGCACCAACAGTCTCTACAGCACTTCACCAATCTGGGCTTTATGGGAGGGTGGCCAGACAGAAGCCACTCCTGAGAAAAAGGCACATGACAGCACGCCTGGAGTTTGCAAGAAGGCACGTGAAAGACTCAGAGTACAAGGCAGAAAATTCAGTGGTATTTTTGTTCCCCTCCTGTACTCCCTATTCACCCACGACTACATGGCCACACACAACTCCAACACCAAGTTTGCTGATGACACGATGGTGGTAGGCCTGATCACCTGCGACGATGAGAGCCTACAGGGAGGAGGTTCGTGACCTGGCAGTGTGCTGCCGGGACAACAAACTCTCCCTCAACGTCAGTAAGGGGAACTGATCGTGGACTACAGGAAACGGTGTGGCGAGCAAGCCCCCATCCACATCAACGGGGCTGCAGTGGAGCGGGTCAGGGGCTTCAAGTGCCTCGGTGTCCAAATCAATAAGGACTTAAAATGGTCCACACGCGCACAGTCGTGCTGAAGGCACAACATTGCCTGTTTCCCCTCAGGAGGTTGAAAATGTTTGGCGTGGGCCCTCGAAGTTCTACAGCTGCACCGTTGAGAGCATCTTGGTATGGCAACAGCACTGCTACAGAAGGTGGTGCGGACAGCCCAGTACATCACTGGGGCCGAGCTCCCTGCCAGCCAGGACCTCTATCAGGCGGGGTGAAAGGAAAGTCCGGAACATTGTTAGACTCTAGCCACCCAAGCCATAGACTGTTCTCTCTGCTTCCGCACATCAAGTGTGACACCAACAGGCTCCTGAACAGCTTCTATCCCCAAGCCATTTGGACTGCTAAAAAGCTAACAAAATGTCTACACGGACTGTCTGAGTTGACCCTTGTTTATTTTAAGTTTTGCGCTGTCTATGCACACACACAGGACTACGCACACTAACACAACACACACGCACGCCATTTTGCTCACACAACATGCATACACATTTATACTGACAACACAAACGCGCGCACACATTTACATTTAAATTTTAGTCATTTAGCAGACTTACAGTTAGTGCATACATAAAAAATGTTCATACCCCCTGTGGGAATCGAACCCACAACCCTGGCGTTGCAAACGCCATGCTCTATCAACTGAGCTACATCCCTGCCGGCCATTCCCTCCCCTACCCTGGACGACGCTGGGCCAATTGCGCGCCGCCCCATGGGTCTCCCGGTCCTGCCGGCTACGACAGAGCCTGGATTCAAACCAGGATCTCTAGTGGCACAGCTGCAGTGCCTTAGACCACTGCACCACTCGGGAGACTAGCATACAATCATATTCGCTGCTGCTACTCTGTTTACCATATATCGAGATGCCTAGTCACCTTACCCCTATACATACAGTATCTACCTCTATCGCGTCAGTATACCTGCACATTGTAAATATGGAATTGGAAATTACCCTGTATATAGCTTACTTCTCGTCTTTTTATTTGTGTTTTTGTTCTACCTTATTTGTATTACTACATTTATATTGATTACTGCATTGTTGGGTTTAGCGCTAGCAAGAAAGTAATTTCACTGTACCTGTGCACGTTACATAACTTGAAATTGTGTTTTCCAGGCCTGGAAAAGTTTCGGAAAATTATAATCTTAAATTTAGGAAAAGTCATGGAAAGTAACTTCATAATTTCTGTTAATGTAATTTATTTAAGCAGAGTTATTTTTATATTTGATCAATGAAATAAAAATCAAATCAGCCAGGCTCGGAATTACACGTTTGCGCGCATCACCTGCATGTGTGTGAGACGAGTGGGCTGTAGCTCAAGGAGAGAGCGAGACAGTCGGACATTGCAGCAGCAGGTAGGCCTAGCCTATAAAATATAAGAGAAAAGACTAAGTACCCAATTCAAAACATATCTTGTACCCTCTAGTTAACTGTTTAGCTATTATTAGCATGCGTGGATGTTTTCATTATGTCATGTCCCAAAAAACCCACACTCTCACCAATAAGGCCGTAAAAAGTTGATGTACTTACTTGACTGATTAATTTAAACAATTATTTTTGACGGAACCAACGATTCACTTCGCCAATGTATTATTTTGTATTCGGTTCAATCACAGTGAATCTAATCATGTGAATCGCGAAAAGTGATTTTAAGAAAACATTTTTAGCCCTTTGAATTATGTGGCTTCAACTTGTTTTGTACTGTGCCTTCGGAAAGTATTCAGACCCCACATTTTGTTACGGATAAAATCCTCAGCAATTTACACACAATACCCCATAACGACAAAGCATAAACCGTTTTTTATCATTTTTAGCAAATGTTTATTTACATAAGTATTTGGACCCTTTGCTATGAGACTCGAAATTGAGCTCAGATGCATCATGTTTCCATTGATCATCCTTGAGATGTTTCTACGACTTGATTGGAGTCCGTCTGTGATAAAGTAAATTGATTGGACATGATTTGGAAAGGCACACACCTGTCTATATAAGGTCCCACAATTGACAGTGCATGTCAGAGCAAAAACCAAGCCATGAGGTCGAAGGAATTGTCCGTAGATCTCCGAGACAGGATTGTGTCGAGGCACAAATCTGAGTAAGGGTACCAAAAAAATGTCTGCAGCGTTGAAGGCCCCCAAGAACACAGTGGCCTCCATCATTCTTAAATGGAAGAAGTTTGGAACCACCAAGACTCTTCCTAGCGCTGGCCGCCCGGCCAAACTGAGCAACCGGGGGAGAAGGGCCTTGGTCAGGGAGGTGACCATGAACCCGATGGTCACTCACAGAGCTCTAGAGTTCCTCTGTGGGGATGGGAGAACCTTTCAGAAGGACAGCCATCTCTGCAGCACCCCACCATTCAAGCCTTTTATGGTAGAGTGGCCAGACGGAAGCCGCCACTCAGTAAAAGGCACATGACGGCCTGCTTGGAGTTAAAGACTTAAAGACTCTCAGACAATGAGAAACAAGATTCTCTGGTCTGACCACAACACTTTCACCCAGTTCTCCTCGGAATCATTCAGATGTTCATTGGCAAGCTTCAGACGGGCCTTTATATGTGCTTTCTTGAGCAGGGGGACCTTGCAGGATTTCAGTCCTTCACGGCATAGTGTGTTACCAATTGTTTTCTTGGTGACTATGGTCCCAGCTGCCTTGAGATCATTGACAAGATCCTTCCGTGTATTCTGGGCGGATTCCTCACCGGTGAGATCTTGCATGGAGCCCCAGGCCGATGGAGATTGACAGTTCTTTTGTGTTTCTTCCATTTGCGAATAATCGCACCAACTGTTGTCACCTTCTCACCAAGCTGCTTGGCGATGGTCTTGTTGCCCATTCCAGCCTTGTGTAGGTCTACAATCTTGTCCCTGACATCCTTGGAGAGCTCTTTGGTCTTGGCCATGGTGGAGAGTTTGGAATCTGATTGATTGATTGATTGCTTCTGTGGACAGGTGTCTTTTATACAGGTAAAAAGCTGAGATTAGGAGCACTCCCTTTAAGAGTGTGCTCCTAATCTCAGCTCGTTACCTGTATAAAAGACACCTGGGAGCCAGAAATCTTTCTGATTGAGAGGGGGTCATATACTTATTTCCCTCATTAAAATGCAAATCAATTTAACATTTTTGACATGCGTTTTTCTGGATTTTTTTGTTGTTATGCTGTCTCTCACTGTTCAAATAAACCTACCATTAAAATTATAGACTGATCATTTTTGTCAGTGGGCAAACGTACAAAATCAGCAGGGGATCAAATACTTTTTTACCTCACTGTAGATACACCTCCAGTTGTTGGTCATGGAAATTTGGTGAAAAGTCATAAGTCCATCTGTCAAAATAAATCCTTAAGTCACTTCCACTGTATTTTCCCGCTAGTCACCAGTGTGACAAGACATTTTCATATACTGCGAGCATCATGTATTCTATGTATTGAATATATAGAGCGGCAGGTAGCCTAGAGGTTAGAGCGTTGAGCCAGTAACCGAAAGGATGCTGGTTCTAATACCCGAGCCGAGAAGGTGTGCCCTTGAGCAAGGCACTTAACCCTAATTTGTGACAGTTTTTAAGAAATCTCAATTTAAAAAAGCACATATGTAAACTAAACCCTTTAAACATTTTGTATTTACAAATAAATAATTGTTTTAATTTCAACAATGTATTTTTATGCTGTTAAAAGTACACCGTGGTGAGATGCTCGTGGTCTGGTGACCGTTTTAATAAATCATATGAAACGATCATTCTCTAAATCAGTTTTTCCCAACTCCTTGAGTACCTCCAACAGCACACGTTGTTTTAGCCCGGGACAAGCACACCTGATTAAATTGTCAACTAATCATCAAGCCCTCAATGAGTTGAATCAGGTGAGTTTGTCCGGGGCAACAACAAAAATGTGTGGTGTTGACGGTACTCGAGGGCTGGAGTTGAAATACACTGCTCTAAATGATACTAGACACCATACTAATGCATAATATGACGCATTAGTTGAAGTACAACTTTAACTTCTCTAGAGTTTAAAGTACTAACGTTTTGTGCGGTCGCTATTGTGACTCATGGGATTAAATGGATAAATAAACAAGTGACTTTTGGTGCGTCCCTTCCCAGGTCCCGAGAACCAGCGCTGTCCTGTGCAGCTGCAGGGTCAACCCCTCCTCCTGTGTGACATGCGGGGGTCGCCCCAGCGCCCCCAGAGAAGACCCCCAGTACGAGCTGCCCTCCCTGGAGCGCTTGTCCCACCTGGACCCGGGCGTCCACCCCATCCTCTCCCTCCCTGATGGTAAGGAGCCAGGAGCATAGAACCATAATCTATTTTTATTATGTTTGTATTAGCCAGGAGCCAGCACTGTACAGACTGATACCATACACTCCATATATCTCTGTGCCCCTGCTTGGCCTGTTATGAAAGTGGTGTGGGTGTATACTGGTCGAAATACAAATTATTTCACAAACGTGAGTCATTTTTGTCCATTGCGTTGTCACTATTCCTGATATTTTTGTTAGCTAGCTGCGGTTGTTAGCAGCTAAGCAAGCTAGCTGCTACCTATATCAGTCAAAACGGCTTACTAGATTTCATCTTGTCATCCAACTTTTAGCTACAAACCACAGGATTTGAAATGGAATGGAATGGCGAGATGGTTGTGTGGAGGATATGCTTTGACTTGCTTTCTTGTTGGCTAGCTAAGTTAGCCGCGATAGCTAGCTAGCATGCTAGCTAACTGCTTTTCACATGCCAACTCTTACAAACTACATTTGAAATAGTGACTGGCGAGATAGTTGTTGTTGTTGCTTTGTCTTTTTTGGTGTGGATTGCTTGGGTTGCTGCTAGCTTGTTTGCAGTGTGCACACCTGAGCCTGTCTCCCCTAGTCTCCTTCTCTCCACCATAGAGTTTGAAGAAAAAATGTAAAGCTGTTGGACATTTGCACAATACTGGTCTTCAACAAATCAGACTGGCCTGTCTCGGCTAAAGAGCATCATGTTACAACCATTAAAAAAATAAACCGTTTGAGATGGGGTTTTAATGAATGGTTCTTCACTACTTTATGCTTTGGCCACAACTACAAGTAAAGGACGAGTCAACATCAATTCAAGTTTTTAGAATTAGCTTTTTTTTGTTGATTTTCAGTTACTTTAAGCCTTCCAAAACTAAAGGCCTGTCCTCAGTGGCTTTTGGTTATTTCAACTCGTGACTTTTTAACATGACATTTAGGCTAATTTGCTTCAAACCTGACAATGTGCTTCTGAACTAGTCTAGTTTGTTTACCTGCCACCCCACAGAAAAAGGAGAAAAGGTGAGGGAGCTTCAGCTTAAAAACTGTAAATAAATGTGGATATCTCTTTAGCTAACCTGGCTAACTGTAACTTTCTCTACACGCTCTCGTAATGTTGCTTAATGCCTCCTAACAAGGTGACTCCAGTAATGTAAACATATTGCCGTTTATGACGTAACCACCTTAAGTGGTTCAGACTAGTTGACTGCCATTCCAGAAGCACCTTGCTTGTATTAGTTTTCATTTTCACCTCCCTACTGTACAATTTATCATCATGGAGAGTGTGAAACAGCCTATGTTTTATATAAACCCCTCCATTCCTCCACTCACCTTGTCCCTTTTTCCTTCTCTCCTCTGCACCGACCATATCTTCTCGTGGATAACAGTGAGTGTGCGTTTCTCTCCTTAGATGTGTGTATGAGCCTGCGGCTGCAGCAGGTGATGAAGAGCCACTGGCAGGGCAAGGCCCCCGAGAGAACCAAGCCCCTCAAGAAGCTCTCGCTTAAACACAAGCTCTCCTCCAAAGACAAGCACATCAAGCTGGCCAACTCGCTCATGGCACACAGTGAGTATATGCGGGCAGAAGCACACACACATATATGACGCAATCCAATACACACCTAGTGTAGTCATACACACCTACTTATATACTTATGCACACAACCTTTGGAAAGCAAGGTGTTTTCCACAAACAGTCAGGGAGTACACATATGACCCCTTGTGGACACAAAGATACACACCCACTCGCACACATATATGGGCACCAAAAGGAGATAAACACAGCCTTTGGAAATCAACTTGTCAGCCATAGTCGAGTATACACAAGGACTTTTGTCACATTTGTTTTTTATTTTACCAGAATGTCTCTTGCCACACACACACCACCCTAGCTGTGTAGAATTAAAATCCCCTGACCAGTTTCTCTCCCCTCACCCCACAGGACTGTCTCACTATAAGAGCCGGGCTGAGAAGCTGCAGCGACGACAACACCACCACCTGGAGGGCAACTGTGGGGTGCTGAGCGCCGCCAGGCTGGAGGGCCAGTCCCTCTGTAAGGCCGAGCGGCTTCTGCACGGCCTCCCCTCACCCTCCACAGGGCCCTATGACCGGGGCTACAGTCGCAAGAGGCCCCGAGAGCACTTGCTGGACAGGACCCACGGCTGTGAGTTAACCACACTACTCAGAAGAACCCGACCTGGGTGAAATACTTAAGCTGTGTTTAATCAGCTTGCCAGGTGCAATGGAATCAATGGACTAGTCCCAAAAGTGCAAATCCCAAACTAAATCAAGCTCCTCTCATGTACTTCTGAGTACTTGAAAGCATCATTTGACATAGGTTATGTATTTGACCCAAGTCTGCTCCGAACACACAATCTGCTATCCATTTACAATGCAAAAGATGTCATAACAATCATGACTAGTTGTCAATCTCTCTTTTCCCCTTTCTCTTCCAGCCACCCCAAAGCTCTTCCTGGACTCGGGCAGCCCCTGCTCGTCCTTGGCCAGCCTACACTCGTCCCTCCACAGCCCCTCGCTAACCCGCCAGCTGTCCACCTCTTCGGAGAGCTCCATCCCCATGGGCCCCAACAGCTTCAGCTTCTCCAACACAACCGTAAGATCATCACAGCTTCTATTGACCGTGTGTGTGTGGCCTAGGTGGATCATGAATGTTCAGATAAAATATGCATTTTGTATAACGTGATTTTCTGTAATGTAGAATTGGGCATCATATCAGTTCTGTTAATTCCATTTCTATCTGCACTGTTCTGAATGTTTCCCCTCACTAAATACAAACCATACCTGTTCATAATTGACTGGATAAATAGCTGTATGAATAAAGATTAAATAAAATAAATAAACCTCTGCTCCCCCTCAGCAGCCCATCCGGAGGAGGCGAGGCGAGAGCTCCTTTGACATCAACAACATTGTGATCCCCATGTCTGTGGCGGCCACCACGCGCGTAGAGAAACTACAGTACAAAGAGATCGTCACCCCGAATTGGCGCGAAGTAGACATTTTCTCCCAGCCAATGGCAGAAGAGGAGAACGACACAGAGGTAAGATGTTGCTTCATTCCTAAGCCCTGCTTTGGGAACTGCCATGTATTTTGAATGACCAACATTTTACCTTGCTTCGTTCTTTTAACTCTTTATGGATCAAAGAGTCCTATTTAAATAACAAATTTCTGTGTGTGTAGATGGAGGATCTCTCAGACGCGGCCTTCTCCCAGCTCCACCAGCCATGCCAGGATCAGGAACGTTCCCGCTGGACCTGGATGGCCCTGGCCCCCGCCAAGAGGAGGGGCAGTAGGTCAGTAGGGGGCGCCTACAGTACACCCAACACGCACTCATACACAGCACAGTACCTCATCTCCACTGCCATACTCAGTTTAGATAAATGTTCTCTACTTACTACATCTGTGACCTATTTGATCAATGTCAACACATCATTTAGTTGGAAATATTTTAGTGGGGTCTTTGCACATTGTCAATATGCACTGAGTGTACAAAACATTAGGAACACCTGCTCTTTCCATGGCATAGATTGACCAGGTGAAAGCTATGATCCCTTGTTGATGTCACCTGTTAAATCCACTTCAATCAGTGTAGATGAAGGGGAGGGGACAGGTTAAAGGATTTTTAAGCCTTGAGACAATCAAGACATGGATTGTGTATGTGTGCCATTGAGAGTGAATGGGAAATACAAGAGATTTAAGTGCCTTTGAACGGGGTATAGTAGTAGGTGCTAGATGCACCGGTTTGAGTGTGTCAAGAACTGCAACGTTGCTGGGTTTTTCACGCTCAACAGTTTCTCGTGTGTATCAAGAATGGTCCACCACCCAAAGGACATCCAGCCAACTTGACACAACTGTGGGAAGCATTGGAGTCAACATGGGACAGCATCCCTGTGGAACGCTTTCGACACCTTGTAGAGTCCATGCCCCGACAAATTTGAGGCTGTTCCACTAAAAGTTAACGATCACTTGATAAATGAGAAAGAATGGGTGCTCTATAAAGAAGTGGTAGGTTAGTAACTTGGTAGTTAAGTTTGTTCTCTATTTGTGGCACATTTCCTTTGTTCTACGGTCTACTCACACCACAACCTTTGACCCTCAGGTCGTACAAGTCCATGGACGGCAGGACCACGCCGCTGCTGTGCAGCACCAACCCGCCCACTCCCCAGCCGGCGTCCCCCGACCCAGGACACTGCCCCCTGCTGAATGACTACAGCCACGTGGCCTCGCCCATAAGCCCAGATGCCACCTCCAACCCCCACACACCGTGCTCACGCGACTCCCACCGCCTGCTGTCCAGTGAGGACACGCGCTGCTCCACACCTGACTTCACCTTCGAGGAGAGGGTGAGGATGAGTGTAACAACACACAAACAGACACACATACGCACACAAAGAATAACAGCACCTGGTCTTCGAGTCACTGTGCCCAATAGTTTTCATGTTGTGATGATGACATGATATTCAGACATGGGAAAGCAGTCACAAGTTATAGCAGTTATATTGACCCTAGAAGACTAGGACGTTGCTGTACATTCTGAGCTCTCATTTGGTGAATGTTGGAAAGTGAAGAGCGAGAACCATTTTTTTGATCAATTTGCATCATTAGATTAACTTGATTAACAAATTGTTGATTTCATGGTTTTCAGTTGTACTTAAATTGACCCAATGATTTCCCGAAACAGACGGTGGCCCCGTGGGAGCATCGAAATTTCCCCCTGCCCGAGGACCCCGCTCCGGAGCCCGAGGTGGAGGGGGAAGATGAGAGGAGGAGTTCGCGAGAGCGCAGCGTCTCGTGTTGCCCGTCGACAAGCTACGACACAGATAGCCCCTTGCCTTATGATGACGACGCCCCCAAACAGAAGGGCCATGCCCACCAATGAATGACTGACAGGCCGAGGTGCTCCTCAACCCCTACCCCTCTCTGGCATTAACAAGCAGAACCTCAAAAACGAAGAGAAAAAAAAGGCTATTAAAAGGATTCCTGTTTGATATTCAAACACCAGTCTAATACTATTTCACAGTTTTTAGTGAATATTATACGGAAGATGGAAGCCTTTCCCGACACTCTTGATGTTACAAAAATATTTTCTGTTGTAGGCTAAAACTTTGTACATGGGGCTTAGTGGTGTTCCATATGTGGTGTGTACACTTGTAGCGCACTATGTAGCCAACTCCTCAAAGTATGGCCAAAGGGTGTTTTTCTATTGACTAGTTTGCTTGTATTTCCCATGTACATTTTCTAGTGGCGTGACAAATAACAAAACAAGAAAAAAAATCTCATACTCCCCCAATTAACAGGTACATTTGGGATGTTGTGTGTGTCCTTTTTTCTCTAGGGTGGGCATTAGAAATCGTGGAGCACATCTTCTTTCATTGCCAAGTAGATTTGTTGGGTTGCTTGTCTTTTTTTGTTTGTCATTCCTTTCCTGACACTTTTTTTTATATTGTCTGTTCAACTAAGTCTTTCTTTTTGTGTTTTGGACAGTAATCATTCCTTTAGAAAATCTCTTTGCAGAGCACCCTGCGCCTCTGATCCCGCTGAGCTCTCGCTGTCTTGTTTGCTAGAGTGACTGCGGTAGAGACGAACCAGGGTGTCCTAAGCACTTGTCCAACCTACAGGGAGCACTACCACATGCTAAACCATGCTAATCAAATCACCATAGAACAGGAACTTGCCACACAGGGAAAGGAAGTGGATGATGATCGGGGATGACCCTACCATCGGTTTAGTTTACTTTCTCTTTTCCTCAGATGATCATTGGTGTATTATGTCAACATAGTCAAATTTATTTCAAATGGTAAAATCACACAGGTAATAGTTTTCATTTTGTTTTCCGGACATTGGTATGAGGCTACATGCTGGTGATTTATTGGAAAATGTTTGTTGATAATTAAGTTGTTTCTGGTTCAACTTGACAAGAATAAGTGTGTTCCATATGTAGCAGCTCTTTGCTAGAAGCAACCCAGACCTCAGGTTTGATAGTTTTTAAGGGAATATTTCTAATGCTGAGAACATTTTGCCCCCCTCAGAAGATCGATCTGATCTAAAGAGACTACTCTGTTGCAGAATGTGTGTTTCTGTTGCCACCCCACAATGTCATAACCACACAACCATTTCCCCTCGTAACTAATTGCTATGCAAAATCTATGGTTGTATAATTTTACACCTGTTTTTACGCCACAGTCATTCAATCCCTGTACTTTGTTTTGTAGTTAAAGCAAGATGTAAATGTACTGGTCCAATTGTTGCAGCAGTTAACCTAATCAAAGGCAGAATTGTTTTTGTAAATAGTACCATTAAAACATTTGTTAAACTTGGGATAATTGTCAGTGTTCTCATTAACTTTCTCACACGTTATCTATAGGAAAACATTGCACAGGTTTACTACAACTTTGTGTAATGGTTGATGTCAACTCCGATCAAATTATGATGTACGTCCCTGATCTAGAAGCTGCAAGGGGACGTGCCTCTAAAGTACCATGGCCATTAGCGCTCATGAATGCACAGACGTTGACCGTAAATGAGAAATGCTTATCTTTGAAAGGTGAAAAAACATTTTTATGGACAAATAGCTGATATAATAAAGTAGTGTCTGCTGTTTCAAACTCCTCTGTTCAGTATTGTAGTCATTAAATAACATTTTGTCAGTGGTGTAAAGTACTTAAGTAAAAATACTTTATAAAGTACTTTTTTGCTATCTGTACTTTACTATTTATATTTTTGACAACTTTTACTTCACTACATTCCTAAATAAAGTAATGTTATTTTTACTCCATTTTCCCTGACACCCAAAAGTATTTGTTACATTTGGAATGCTTAGCAGGACAGGAAAATGGTCCAATTCACGCACTTCTCAAGAGAACATCCCTGGTCATCCCTACTGCCTCTGATCTGGCGGACTCACTAAACACAAATGCTTCGTTTGTAAATTATCTCTGAGTGTTGGAGTGTGCCCCTGGCTATCCGTAAATAAATAAAATAAAAATAAAATGGTTCTGTCTTGTTTGCTTAATATAAGGAAGGTGAAATGATTTATACTTTTGATTCTTAAGTATTTTAGCAATTACATTTACTGTTGATACTTAAGTATATTTAAAAACAAATAATTGTAGACTTTTCCTCAAGTAGTATTTTGCTGGTTGACTTGAGTAGTTTTCTATTAAGGTATCTTTACTTTTACTAAAGTATGACAATTGGGTACTTTTTCCACCACTGCAATTTCTGAACATGATTTGTGGCAATGAAGGAGGCAAATGCTTCTTTGTTGTAAAACTAAATTGTACTCTTTGTACACCATGTACCTTGGTGAAGAAACTGGGAAGACAGAATCAGAATGTATTTTAGCTTAGTGAATGTGCCACGTCCACAAACCATCTGCCAATGACCTCATCATGCCTATCACCGCCACCCTCATTAAAGGAGATAAAGGGGTAGGACCGACTGCCTTCCTCCCAGCTCTTCTCACAGTCCCAGAGCTTCAGTGCAGACCCTAAGACCATACTTCATCCTATTACTCACCTCGTGACGGAGAGAAACATCTTCACCATGTCAACGCTTCTTAATTTAGTCTGTACCCTTAGCCTGGCTCTAGCTGCCATGCAGGGCACTCCCTTAACTGACCAGGATGCATATTAGCCCCAGAAACCCTGCCAAAGTGGTTGGGAAATATTCAGCCGCTGCTTTAAGCCCTTCTCCACACGATTGACCTGGGCTGACGCAGAGTTGCACTACCTGACCCACGGGACGAACCTGGCCTCAGTGCACAGTTCTGAAGAGTACGAGTTCATCAGCAACCCTGCAAAGAGGACCGACTGGATAGGCTGAGTGACCTCCACAAGGAAGGTGCATGGATTTGATCTGACAGGACCAAGGTGGACTTCGTCAACTCTAATCCAAAATAGCCTAATAATGAGAGAGGAATGGAACACTGTTGTCACAAACTGGGGTGGAGGTGCCGGTACCAAAGCCGGTAGGTGGAATGATCTCTCCTGCAAGAACACGTTTCCCTTTGTCTGCGCCAAACGTATCCTCTGAACCTGACTGTCCTGAGACTTTGATAGTGGACAAAATGCCATAATTTTCTTTAATAGAACACCTTTCATCTCACAGGAAAATATGTACGAATTGTTGGTATTCCTATACGATTTCTTACATTTTAACGACGTCTGTCCATGCACGATATCTGAGTTTACTGAAGCATGTCCCCATGGAGCATCCAGACTGAAATGCTTCATTTAGGACTCAGTACACATGCAATATTTCCATAACATACCATATTTTAGAACACTTCCTAGTATACACCAATCAATAGTAAACCCTTCATAATTCAGAGAGAATTGTGTCCTCGTTATTGTATCTGGTAATGGTGTACACAAGGCCTTCTAAGTGTGGCCTGGCAGTCAATATTTGTATCAAAGTTTGACTGATGTTTCAGTATTGGAGAACATATTGAGACTGTTGAGAACATATCTGTTTTTTGCACCGCATCTGCCGATGTCGCACTTCCTCATCTGCAGTGAAAGGTTGCAGAGCTAGAGCAGTGTTTGTCAGGCCATGAGACATCCCGAAAATCGGTCTTCTCACTAAATCGTCTGTAGTGTCCGAACAGTTTGGTACTTCATTCAAAATCAAATAGCTAAATTATTATTGGTATTACCTTAATAAAACAATTCAATATGTTAGCTTAGACTGTAGAGGGTTTAGGGATAGTTAACCACAAAATGTACGTTTGACTGATGCCTCAGTATTGGAAATAACAGTGCGAGTTAAAGGGATAGTTGACCACAAACATTTGTCAGATGTTTTCGCTGTCAGTAATGTGAACCAGAGATTTCAGAGCGAAGGACAAAACATGGTTTAACAGTTTATTTTTAAATTCACAGCGACAAGAATCATCATACACCAGTTATTGATAAAATGCACAATAACAATATCAACAATCACATTTTCCACACAACTGTACAGCGGCAAAAATAACAAAAGGGTGATGATGAAATGTATTACTGCAAACCCTTTCCATTGACCTCAGGACAGAGGCTAGCGGAGAGGACCACCAAAAAACCCACTTTTTCCCTTGAATACTGATAATGTTAGTACTGGAACTTATCAGTACCTGCCCTCCAACATATTAGTCCCAGTAATCCACACAGAATACAGTGCACATACCCATTTAACACATTCAAACAAATGTTGTCCATTATGATGAAAAGTAACCAACAGTTTAGCATGCAGATTGTAGTGTTGCAAGCACACCTTTTCTCTAATGCCCTGGCCAGTTCTGAGTCCTCAATTAAATATATATTGGCAATACAAGTCAACCATACACATACACTGGAAAATCTTATGTTATCAATGCACCTTAATCTCCACATAACGGAAAGGGTTGCCTTTTGGGTTCTATTCCCTCGCACTAATACCTACGTGTATCCTTATATAGACAAATCAGATATTACAGGATATTCAATGAAAGCACAGTGTAAAAGGAGAGGCAGACCGCTTACTCTTACATGAAATGCATGCAAGGACTTTTTAGATGGTATGTTTGCTCGGAGTTAGGAAGGCAATCAATGATGAGAATAATATAGTGGTGATTGGTGAACCACCGTGGGTTTACATTAGGATAAAACACTTCTTATGTATTTGAACATATGAGACAGTTTCGTAAATTTTCGTCGTATACGTTTCAGGGAAAGGACCACAGCTTTATAACCCGTGAGACAAGTTGAGGAAAGTGTGACGAGCATGCTCGTGCACAGGCAATTAGTAGGCCTAAATCTAAATATATCCGAAAGGTACCTTGCTCCATGTAACAGATGGTTAAACATTTTAGGGTAAAAAATGTGAGTGAGCAATATGACATCATCACATACAGTGGGGCAACTTCCTGCTTACAAAAATCAATTAACAACATAATGCTAATCTGCCAAGACTGCCAATTGGCTCCTCCCAATGTGGACATACCTCAAGGGAGGGTGCAAACCTGAAAGAACCAATAGGGGCAGTCTTGGGCGATTGGAATTCAGTTGTTGCTTATGGTGCGTTCAAGACAACTCGGAACTAGGAAATCTCTGACCTCCGACTTCAACGCACTCAAGACAACTGGGAACTCTGAAAGGAAACAGCACTGACTTGAAAACATTAGATTTGAACCAACCGTCATCCAACTCGGAATTACAATTCAGAAATTCGGGCATCATCCTAGAGCTCCGACTTCTCTGACCTGAAGATCACTGACATCACGATTTTCCAGTTGTCTTGAACACACTATTATGGTTGTGTTCCCCTGCTCAGGCGTTGGATAGCATCAACCAAAGGTTGCATGCCACATCATTGACTGTGCAGTCGGGCACCAGATTGCTATATCATATGATGTGTTTAGCTGATAGTTAAACACCTATAGATGCATTGTGAGATCTGGCAGGTGTCTGCAATGTAGTCGGGCAGAAACTCAACCATCGTGCGCAAGCAGGAAGTTGCCCCACTGCGTCTACCTTTAATATCTTGGGACAAGCTATGTTTTTTGTGCATGTTTTTACGTTAATTTCACTACATGCGTTGCAGAGTTTATTATGATAAATATAACCGATTTCTTCATGTCACTTCAGCAATTTTTCTTCTGTGTTTTGACTTTCCTTTGACTGCCTGTTTTGTCAGTATTTTCTATTGACTTTTGGTTCTAGTACTTGGCTGCTCAACTGACTATGAGGCAGTTAGCCTATACATTTTACAAAGCCATGTCCATTAAATTGAAAGTTCAGAAAGCGTTGTTACTGTGATCTAAAGCTAAATTAGTGAAAAATTAGGCATCAGTCCCTGACTGAAATGATGAGTCTTACGTTAAATGACACGACCCATAATTGGTTGGACAATTTGCCTGGCATAGCTAAGCCTGTTAATTTATACATTTAGTAACTCAGTATTCCCCTCTAATTGATGTCTTCTTCTTTAGAACATTAACAAATAGTTTGTCTCTAGTAGCCTACATACGTTAAATGTAAACTGCCACACCGCATAAGACAAAAGCTGAAACGCATTTACAATAGAGCCATAACAGAGTCAAATCAAAAAATAAATTAAAACTGACAGTAGCAGGCACAATACAAATGTTTCCATATCAAATACATGTCATATCCACAGAATACAATTAGAAACGCGTGTGCCCAACACAAACCAAAGTTTCTACGCTAACCATTCTGTATCTCTCTTCTTTTGTCTATAAAGGAAATGTTTACCTCTAAACTATACTACCTTGGTATGCAGTGTATAGAGTCACCCAAAGCAGAGACAGCAGGTTGGGGAGGTCTAAAAGCATTTTACTGTCTGAATGAGAGCTTTTGCTACATTAGCCCACCTTTCCTCACCACTTCTTTGCCTTATACTACCCTGTAACTGGATGATGTGTTTTCTTATGTTCAATACGTTGTAAAAGTGGGCCCACTTCTCTCAAACCAATTTTTTCCATATCAAATAGCCATTCAGGAGACAGCCATCACAGATCATTTGCACATCAAAATGGCAATGTGTAAATGAAGTGCTTCAAATCGCAGTCATTGTGACAGTGAAATTATTTATTGAGTTAAAGTGAATTAAATATAGGTGAAGTTAAAATAAAATGTCCAGAAACACTTGCAAGAATCTGGTTTGTTTGGATGTTTTTTTTCTTTCTTTAAACTCCTAAACGGACATTTATACAAACGGTACAAATATTGACAACAAAAATAGATCAAGAGAGAAATTAAATAATCTAACTTGACCTACTTGAATCTATTTTTTATGACCTCTTTTCTAACAATAATGCATCAAGACGCATAGTCAGTGATGGAAGAGAAACAGTGATGGGTATAGCTAAAAAAGTCCTGTGAAAAGGAGGAGGAAGTCGACAGGCGTCACGACTCCTCTAAAGTGGGTGGTCGAAGTAGTGTGGTTGGTCAGGAGACTTCCGGTCGGCCATCGTGTGCCATCAGCCAATCACAAGCCTTGGCTGGCCAGCGAGGCAGATACCTGGTCGGCGAGTGTGGAGAGCTGCGGTGAGTCGGCCATGTTGATGGAGCCGGAGGAGGACAAGGTACTGAGCTGGTGGGACAGGGGGTCGTCTTCCAGGGAGATAATCTCGGCGCCGTGGTCAGTACGTGCCTTGGCCGTCTCACGGAACGTCAGCTTGTGGCTCTCAATCTGCCGATCGAAGAGAAGGTATATCATAAGGTATATAAGGTATCAGAATCACCTTTATTTTCACACACATGGAATTTGACTTAGTGAATTGGTGCTGCTAGTAATAGACAAAACAGACAGAATATAGAAAAAGGAATTTACACATCATCTACATGCACTATATACAATATAAATACAATAAACAGAACAATTACACATGATAGGACAGTATTAGCAAATTTACAGTTGATGCATTTTGTTGCAAATCACAAGTTAGCAAACAAAAACAGTAAACACACGAGCAGCGACCAAAACACTGTGGCTGCCTCACTGGGCACCAGCCGAAATCGACATGACTATACACACGGAGGTAATGGTTGCACTTTATTTTACTGTACATAAAATATTAGGTATATATTCTAATAAATTACCAATTTCGTTAAAATCTTTGAAGTAAGTAAATGAACTTACACATTGTTACAACAAAGTTTCCTATTAATACTAGGTAAATACCAGTGGAAAGAGTACGCATTCTGGGTGAACATCCTGACTCCTTTATTTGATGATGCTAATCTCATCCACATACTGTAACTTTCAAGGGCAAAATAATGTATTTTCTGGCCAAATTGCCATTTATTGCACAGAATATGTATGCAATCAATGACTTTCCTTGGGTTCGAACCAAAAAGATCAAACATACAGTAATAAATGTTTGTTTTCAGACTATTCTGATAATGTTTTCAGACTATTCTGATAATATTATGGCACCCTATGGTGGTAAAGAGGTGAAAGAGGTTAATTGAAGCGTTAGATGTGAGCTGCCTGCTCCTGAAATTTGGTGTCTGCATTTTGAAAATGGTGTCCATTCGCCTTGACAGGGATGCATTATAAACTTTCAATATCCAAGATATACTGCAGTGTACACACAACATTCCACGCATTCTCCCTGCTTGGCACCGGTGGATGTGGTGTACTTACTGGAGTCCTCAATCTTTATGAGCGGGTTCATCAGGATGGGTGTGATGTGTGCTGAGGGGAGGGGCTGGGGTGACTGTGGGGGGGTGTCGGCAGGGGAAGGGCAGTACGTGCCCCTGTTTGATGGGCTGTCTTTGAGGCTGCCTCCTGCTTCCTTCCCCTTCTCTCTCTACAGAGGACACCCAGCGATGGGGGGAAGATTACATAAAAATGCAACAAAAACATGTGACGGGAACAACATAAAAAATACAAATAAATAAAAAATATACAGTACCAGTCAAAGGTTTGGACACACCTACTCGTTCAAGGGTTTTTCTTTATTTTTGTACTATTTTCTACATTGTAGAATAATAGTGAAGACATCAAAACTATGAAATAACACATATGGAATCATGTAGTAACCAAAAAAGTGTTAAACAAATCAAAATATATTTTATATTTGAGAATCTTCAAAGTAGCCACCCTTTGCCTTGAGGACAGCTTTGCACACCCTTGGCATTCTCTCAACCAGCTTCATGAGGTAGTCACCTGGAATGTATTTCAATTAACAGGTGTGCCTTGTTAAAAGTTAATTTGTGGAATTTTTTTCCTTCTTAATGCATTTGAGCCAATCAGTTGTGTTGTGACAAGGTAGGGTTGGTATACAGAAGATCAAGAAAGACCAAGTCCATTTTATGGCAAGAACAGCTCAAATAAACAAAGAGAAATGACAATCCATCATGACTTTAAGACATGAAGGTCAGTCAATCCGGAAAATGTCAAGAACTTTGAAAATGTCTTTATGTGCAGTCACAAAAATCATCAAGCACTATGATGAAACTGGCTCTCATGAGGACCGCCACAGGAAAGGAATACCCAGAGTTACCTCTGCTGCAGAGGATAAGCGTTAACTGCACCTCAGATTGCAACCCAAATAAATGCTTCACAGAGTTCAAGTAACAGACACATCTCAACATCATCTGTTCAGAAGAGACTGTGTGAAACCACTACTAAAGAGTTTTGGTTCCAACCGCCGTATCTTTGTGAGACGCAGAGTAGGTGAACGGAACATCTCCGCATGTGTGGTTCCCACCGTGAAGCATGGAGGAGGAGGTGTGATGGTGCTTTGCTTGGTTAGGCAAACCTAACCAGCATGGCTACCATAGCATTCTGCAGTGATACGCCATCCCATCTAGTTTGCTCTTAGTGGAACTATCATTTGTTTTTCAACAGGACAATGACCCAACACACCTCCAAGCTGTGTAAGGGCTATTTGACCAATAAATAGAGTGATGGAGTGCTGCATCAGATGACCTGGCCTCCACAATCACCCGACCTCAACCCAATTGAGATGGTTTGGGATGAGTTGGACTGCAGAGTGAAGGAAAAGCAGCCAACAAGTGCTCAGCATATGTGGGAACTCCTTCAAGACTGTTGGAAAAGCATTCCAGGTGAAGCTGGTTGAGAGAATGCCTAGAGTGTGCAAAGCTGTCATCAAGGCAAAGGGTGGTTACTTTAAAGAATCTCAAATATAAAATATATTTTGATTTGTTTAACACTTTTTTGTTACTACATGATTCCATATGTGTTATTTCATAGTTTTGATGTCTTCACTATTATTCTACAAAATAAAGAAAAACTCTGGAATGAGTAGGTGTGTCCAAACTTTTGACTCGCACTGTATATAATAATACTCACAAACAAACCAAGTGACAGGTGATGTAAGTAACAAAATATTTAGTTGGATGAAAATAAATAATTCAAGTAGATTAAAAAAAAGGTTGAAAATAAATTATGGAATGAGAACAGGGCAAGAAGCTTTCTATAGCTGTGATGTTACTAATGTGGCAGAGGCGAGGAACCCAGTTAGCTTAGATAAGAAAAGCAGCACTCAATACCAAATGGACTCCTAGACCCTACGCAATTGTGGAGATCTGAGAGGATTTGTCAGGTGCAACTAATATGGTAATAGCTCCACCTTGCACTCTAATAGGCTACCATATTACTTGTACCAGTTAAAACCTCTCAGATTTATACAAGTGCATAGGGTGTTGGGTCTAGGGATCGATTTCAGATTGGGTCCAGGAAGCCAGGATTAAAGATCGTGGGTATTATCAGATAGCAGTGAGACGAAGTACACAGGGGAGGAGAGCGGATGAGAGAAGGGTAAGGAGAGCAGGCAGTTAGGCAGCCACAGTCACCCAGGACACCAATGCAGCCTTAGCCTATTTTCAATGAGACCTCTCACTATTCCTAACACTCATGTATGTCTTCAAAATGTCGTCAAATGCAGACAGGCAAACAAGATACAATCATTGATACTTTGAAGTATCAAAAGTACATACTGTGCATGTGTTTAGCCTAATGCAAGAACAAGCTAACAACAGCGCTGTTGGTCTATGTCAGGAGCAGCAATCTCTGTCAGTTCAGCCATGGGACCCCATAGCACTATGTTAGTATGTATGATTCATAAAGAAAAGATAGATTATCAAAGTAATATCTGTAATTTGTAACAAGGATGTATTTCCATTCCTTGCCATGTTACGGTTGCCTTGATCAAGACTGATTTTCACAGAGCATTTGCCAAGCAAGGTATTCAAATCGGGGGCTATGCCATAAAAGAAAAGCTCAGAGCAAGCAATAGAGAAGTTCTTCAGGAGAGAGGGAAAATATGATAAACATATCACTGATATTAGATGTGTAATCCAGGGACATACCTACTTTTCCCCTAAGGACCACTGTAAAGGGATGTTCCAGAATAATGTTTTGTAGTCTTACCCTCCTCTGTCCACCTCCGGCCACGTGCCCAATGTTGTCCATGGAGCCGATCTTTGATTGGACTTTGAAATCCAATTTCTCAGATTTTATCTCAACATTCCCACCACCTTATTACAGAAATGACAAAATGATACAATTGTTAAAAAGGCATTTACAGCTACCATGATTGACCTGTCTATAAACCATTTGTTGCCCCTCTGTGTCCTCTAGTCAGCTCGCTGGTGCCCCGCCTGCTGGATGTGAGCTAATTTGATAAAGAGAGGGAAATGGACACATGGGAGCAGCTAGCTATAGCTACAGAATTGTAACGTAATATGCAATGCTTCCATACACCGTGACAGTGGTGGTAGTGAAAAGCACCGTCAGGTACTTCCTGAACTTTCGACTTTGAAGGCACCGATGTCTTCTAAACTCCCATTGGTAGTTGCAGGTAGAACGTTGTAATTTAGAAAATGCTCCGTTATTAAATACATTTTTACTCAATGAAGTAATCCAACTTGGAGTATCTTTGTCTTCTCTTATTGGGTGTCCATCCCAAAGTGTTGCACTTCATGTGCACGACTCAGAAATCAAGCGCCGCTTTAAATGACACTCACCTGTCTTGATCAAAAACAGAAGACAGGGATACTCTAAAATGGCGATGTATACATTGTGGATGACTTCATTGAGCAAAGAATATATTTTTTTAAACTACCGATGGAAGTTTAGAAGACACCAAACCTAAGCGGAAGCATTAATGCTTTGAACCATCATAACTATATTGAAAAAATCCACCATGCATCAATTAAGGTTCAACATTTTATGGCCCCCTAAACTGGGTCTGTGCCCCACCTTGGCCACCCCATTCAAAATGTTCTGGACATGCCACTGGGGAGGGGAAGACTACTTTTGAAGTCTAAAAACTTATGACAAACTTTGATTCTGTAGTGTAATGTCCCTTTAAGATTAAGACTTACCTGGCTTGTGGTGGATGTTGGCTGTAGAACCGCATTTTGATTTAACATTGCTCAGGTCAATCTTTTTGTGGACTATTTGAACCTGTGCAGGGAGATAAAAGAAAACAGAAAAATCTATACATATTATTTTATTAAATGTTTCCTCCAAGTAGAGGTCAGATGGTCGTTGGGGAGAGTAAAACTTTGTTAACAAGATACACATAAACACACACTATTACTGGACAATACCGATTGACTCAAAGTCAAGATCACCATGCTGATTTAATTGTATCATTTGAAACTCAATGAATACTTTAAATAGAGTGTTTTCAGTTTATTAAGTATTCTCACATTTTATGCTGTCATTTATTTAGAATGCAAACTTTGTAGCTATATCTGAAATTGAGACATTGCTGTTATTTCTAATTGATACATACAGTTATTGCGTTATACAGTACATTGCCATTTGCCTTGGTCAAGTTTCTATCCAGAAGGGTTAAAGTTGCTTTTAGATCAACTCAATATTCAACAGCCAAGTTTCACAATCCAATCTCTGGATCTGAGGATCTGATGACCTCATCATATGCAGCCAGGCTCCCGGAGTGAAGGGCCCGGCTGGTGTCTCTCGACACAAAGCTCTTTGTCTCTCTTGAGTGAGGTCACTTATTTGCTGTTCACTACAATAGGCTGGCAACTCCAAGCAGAAGCATGGGACAGACACACTTTTGTTAATGGGCATTAAGGATGGCTTCTGTCCCATTTGATGCTTGTGTGCTTGACATTTGCAAGGATTTATTTCATTTTATGAAAAAAGCATACTACCAGATGCAAAACTCAGCTGATCAGTTTGGTCCCACTTATTAAGTACCCGGCCAAGTACTCCATGCATTTTATTTTAAGGTCAGGTTTATTTCATCAGCAAAACATAGAAAAACAGACAGGTACACATTCTCCAAAGGGGGGTGGGGAGAAACATCATTAAGCCTACTTTAGGTTGTCATGAGCATTACATAAGATTTCCTTGGTAGTTGCAGCTGATGTCATATGATATAACAGGGTCCTGACACAAACAGCAATTTAGGTCAGCTAGCTCATGAGCCAACTAGCTAGCTAGCTAGGGTTGGGTCAATTCAGGGAGTGAACTGAAATTAAAACTTAAATGATGAATATTGAAATTGGAATTTCAGTTTGCTTCCAGAATGGACTGAATTGAAATGGAATAGACACCTAACCATGATGCGTACCACTGCATGCAACATAAAAGTGTTGGACCATTTCACCAACATCTATTGTTATAATTATGTACAGCATATGACATGCTCATGACAGTTGATAGAGGCTTTATGACCACTTGTTAACACAACATATTAATATATCACAGTTGTAGTAGTGGGAGAGTTGTAGTCACACAGATTGGGACAGATTAACACAATCGAGACAGGGATTTCCGTGCAAAGGTGTTCGACTAGTTCCTTAGTGCAGATGCAAATTATCCCATTGGAAAGGGGAAGGGCTTTGGCAAAAGCTGTAATCTCTGCAGGGAGCCGTGGGTTCGTCCCTTTAGTACGGCCTACTCACATTGCCACCTCCGGGTGTATGTTTGATATTATCTTTGGAGCCACAGCGAGACTGGACATTGCTTACGTCCACCTTCTTTTCTAGTATTTGTACCTGGAAAAATGCAGATGTAGGGGAAGAGACTGTTATCCTTGAGCAATCAGAAAGCAGCACGGCTGCGTATGAGGACCATGGTAAAGGAGGCGAAACCAGAACTCTTGTAGGAATGTGAACATCGTATACAAAAATACATTTGACTGGTTGTAGGTAATGACAAGGGACCAGTAGAGAAGGAAAGGAACTTTTCAGGAACTTTTTTACCAACGTTTGCATCGATGATCATAACTGTAGAGTGACTCAAGACGCAGGAGGTATTGAGTTTATCCCTTAGTTACTCACATTGCCACCTGTATATGTTTGATATTGCCTTTGGAGCAGCACTTAGACTGGACATGACTAAAGTCGATCTTCTGATCAAGTATTTTTACCTGGAAAAGCACAGAGTTATAGGAAAGAGAGCGTTATGTTGGAGTAATCCAAAGCAGCAAGGCTGCAGGTGTGGAAGACTGAGACTGAGGTAGTGAAATCTGTTCTTATGAATGACCTACCCAGTTGGCACAACTGGTTGAATTGACATATTTTATTATGTCTTTAGGTTGTATACTGGTTGTATAAGGACATTTTTCAACATATTTTTAGCAATCAGAAAAATATATCTTTATCTGGTTGTAATCTGACCAGATAACAACCAAACAAGATATTTTTCCCATGAGGTATTGATCTCATCATGAAAAAGACACCTTTACTGTACCTGGTTATAACAGAGACCAGTTGGATGCAATCTGGTTATTATGAAAATTAAGTCATCAAAACATTATGTGCCCAATTCTGCACGCTGGGCAATGGTACCTTTCAACAAATAAAATAGTTTCAAAATGTTAACATTCATTAACACTTTTAATAGTCAATATAAAGTATCCATGGAAGCTTCCATGATGCCCTTTAACGAGTTATAAAATACTTATAGACCCCTAAGTAGCTGCTGCCTGCTAATGATACTACAGTGTATTGCTTGTTATTGGGAGATGTTCGCTTATTTGATTGTTGCACTATTCTCCTATCTTTTATCATAGAGTGCATGATTCCCACAGGGTCAAAAAGACAGGCCAGTGATGGAGCAGAAATTATCAGGACAATGTTTGTGAATAAGATTTTGTCTCAAAACTAGTTACTCACCCTGCCTCCTCCAGGAGTGTGATTCAGGTTGGCTTTGGATCCACAACGAGCCTGGACATTGCTTACGTCCAACTTCTTCTCAAGGATTTGGACCTGAAAGCAGAAGTAAAGGAAAAGGAGTATTGGCCTTGAGTAGTCAAACGCAGCGAGACTGCAGATGAGGACCATGCCAAAAGAAAGGGAGAATCTGAACTGTTGTAGGGATGAGAGCATAGGGCAGAAATATTTTGACTCACTTAATCCTTTAAAGGAGTACATTGTAGAGTTTGTGCACCTATGATAATTTAGCTTGTGTTGAGCAATGACGTGAGAGCCAGTAAAGATGGGGTAGGGCATTTCCAATTTCGAATAGGGTTGTTTCGATGATCATAACTTTAGAGAGACTCAAGACTCAGGTGTTGAGTTCATCCCTTAGTTACTCACATTGCCACCTCCGGGTGTATGTTTGATATTGTCTTTGGAGCCACACTTAGACTGCACATTGCTTAAGTCGATCTTCTTTTCAATTATTTGTACCTGGAAAAGTGCAGAGGTAGGGGAAGAGACTGTTATCCTTCAAGGGTTTCAAAGCAGAGGACTCTACACTGATTCAAGTGAGCTGTCTGAGACAGATTAAAAATCTCTCAAAACAAAAACGACTAGCCACGCAACAGTTTGTCATTGGAGTGAGAGCTTCCATCCCTGTGTAAAACATTAAAGCAGATGAAGAGACAGTGAATGAGAGGAATGGAAAATCAAGGTTGTGTGAGGCACTCTGCCATGTAGTTATACCAAATAGAGCCTGAACTTACCCTTCCTCCTCCAGGCTGGTGCTTGATGTTGTCCGTGGAGCCGATCTTGGACCTGACGTTCTTCAGGTCCGGCAAGGGGGCCGCGGCGGTGAGGGGTGCAGGGGCGCGGCTCTTGAGAGAGCCAGGGGACTTGGGTGGGGTGCGCACCACCGCAACCTTCTTCACCTGGTTGGTGGCCACAGCCAAGGGCTTCCCGGGAAGAGTCTTGCTGGAGGGGGACTTGGGAGTACCAGGGCTGCTCTGTCCACTGGTGTTGTCTTTAGAGAGTATTGAAAGGGTACAGTGAGCCTTTTTGAAGACCGTAGATTTACAGTTATTTCAAGGCCAGTGATAGATCGTACTAAGAAACAAATGAAGGCTAGTCCTGATCGAACTAATGGGTTCAATAAAATTCATAAATGTCTCTATTTACCTTTGTTCTTGCCGCTTGCTGTATCACAAAAATAAACAGCACAAATTAGGCATAATCAGAGGTTTGTCAATCATACTTTTTGTGCTGCACATTGCAGGCTAGCTAGCTACATACCTGGAGCTGGGGTTTTGGCGGGAATCTTGGTTCCGGGGGCCTGAGGCCTGGCACCACCCGGAGTCTTTACATCCCCAGAAAAAGAAACAAAGGGTTGAAAATGACATTAGTGACAAATGACCAACCAACATGCTCTTGATTGACTGGCTGATCCATCAGCACTCTTGGTATTGTATTTTTCGAATATGAAATTATACTTTTGTTGCTTTGTTTGCTAGCTAGTTACCTAGCTTGCATTGCCTATTGACAATGTAGCTAATGCTAGCTATGGCTACCTAGCCAGGTAAGGTAACTTTTTTTTACTCCAAGTGTATGTTAGATAGATAAGTTATTATGAATATAACCCTCATATAACCCTCACCCTCCTGTCAATCTTGATACGATTTAAGAGCACTAGCTACTCCAAATGTGGCCATTAGCCTTGACTGCATGCTGAACATGTATTCAGAGCCATAAAACAAGCTTTATTTTAGGGGTCAATTGCAGTCCTTTAAACATGGGAAAATGCATGATACGATTGTATAGCCTCAATGCATAAGCACAATATCATTCAAGTGGCTTTCAATATGGACAAAGAGCATCAGCCTTAGACATTCATAGCCATTCACTATGCGACACTAAGCTTGCTTCAGCTAACTACTATTCACAATGTACAGTATCTGTCGCCCATGACAACCCCCATAGGAGTTGGCTATACACCAAAAAACAACTAGGCTACAGCATCTGTAAATCTTAATTTTGTTTATGTGAAACTGATCAGCTGCCTCTTCTACCTTAGTTCCTGTTCACTGCAGCCCTGTATGCATAATTCATAGTACTGAAGGTGTGAGAGTGAAACTGTGCAAGGGCATATTTCTCAGAAATGGCTGCGTTTTGTGATTGATTGACGCACGGATCGGTGTCAGTACACAGGAAATTGTTAAAGTGGGCTAAAGAGTTACACACTCACTGGCGAGGCAAGATGGAACACACTTCACTCTATGCTACTCTTAGTGAGTATACACATCTACTCTGGACACACTCAAGGACCAAAGGCTGTTCTCACCCTGCATCATAACTGGCTACAGATATTCAACAGAGAGGGGAGGGGGAGACTCATACTGGAAGTATAAATGGTATAGATGGGTTAGCTGACAACGTCACGAAAACGATGCGCACGCTTCAATGGGGCAGAAGTCTGTGAGTTGTTGTGATTCTGGATGGCCAGATAGCTACCAACAATGACAAGAAACTGCCATGTGAGGAATCGTAAGTGATTAGTTTCAGCTAGTTTCATCTTGTTCTTGATACCATGTGTTGTTTTGAGGTGTTTTCACTGATTTCATGTCAATGCTAATATGGCTAGCTAGCTAAATTCGCTAGCTAGCTAACCAACAACTGTAACAACATTTTGTCAGCCGGTTATTGTAATGCAAAAGACTGTCGGTCTCACGGTAAATTACTGTTAATGAACATAAACACGTTTAGCATCACCAGGCCTCCACGCATACAAGCTGCATACAAGCTGCATACAAGCTGCATACAAGCCGCTGATGCGCCATTGGAACATCTTCATTTAAAAAAGTATAATAAATCAATTTAATATACACCATCACAATAAATACATTATTTATTTTAGTCAGGTTTAAAGAAACATTATGATATGAAGAAAATGTATTTCAGAAAAACAGAATATGAGTTGGCCTACTGTATGTTATCTGGCTATGCTCCATGCCATAGGCTATAGGCATGTTCATTTAGCTGACATATATGCTTATAAGACCCGTGCCATTCTTTTATATTATATGATTTTATAGTTAGAAGAATATAGAAATGATATTTTTCCCATTCTGGAGCGAGTATGCATTTGATGTTGAGCGTAAAAGTTATAATTTGAAACAGGTCCTATACGCTAGATTTAGTTATTTGGCAACTTTAGTTGTGAATGATACAAACCTTAGAATGTCTTAGAAATCAAAACATATATGGGCTGCATGATGCAACTATAGGCTATTGATGATTTCAGAAAGTCGCAAAAAAAGCTTGCCTCATGCTACACAGCTGTTCTCTCATCATGTGATCATATTTTCACCCATCAGACTATTCTCAATTTAATCTTGTCTTTACTAATATGTAAAATTAGTTTCGATTTAGAATGGCCCATTATCAAATGGGAAGGAACAGGGGCAGGGGAAAAATCCATGTCATCTGTATGCACTCGATTAGCGAATAGAGGCCACACGCTTTCTGTTTTTTTAATGATGCGGGTAGGCTACTTCGGTTTTATAGCAGAGCTGTGCTTAATATGAGCAGCTGAGAAATACATATAAGAACACTTATTTCACTTCAGGCATCAACCACTGTTTGAGGAGCATGCTCTCGTTGCGCGACAGGTGATATTCCGCCCAAACTCTGTATGCCATGGGCTCTCCAACCCTGTTCCTGCAGCTACCCAGTTGTGAAAACCAAGTGAAATATGTTCGAGAACATAAATTCTAACATGTTTTCGCTATTAAACATATTTCACTAAACTGTTGAGAGCCCCTCTGTGTGCTCAAGAAAGGAATAAAGGAGAGAGGAGGAGATGGAAACACATGGTGGTGAGATATTCTGTATAGCTACAGTGCCTTCGGAAAGTATTCAGACCCCCTGGACTTTTTCCACATTTTGTTACGTTACAGCCTTATTCTAAAATTGATTAAATAAAAGAAAATCCTCATCAATCTACACACAATACCCTATAATGACAAAGCGAAAACAGGTTTGTAAAAATATTTGCAAATGTATTACTAACAAAAAACAGAAATACCTTATTTACATAAGTATTCAGACCCTTTGCTATGAGACTCAAAATCGAGCTCAGGTGCATCCTGTTTCCATTGATCATCCTTGATTTTTCTACAACTTGATTGGAATCCACCTGTGGTAAATTCAATTGATTGGACAAGATTTGGAAAGGCACACACCTGTCTATATAAGGTCCCACAGTTGACAGTGCATGTCAGAGCAAAAACCAAGCCATGAGGTGGAAGGATTTGTCCGTAGAGCTCCGAGACAGGATTGTGTCGAGGCACAGATCTGGGGAAGGGTACCAAAAAATGTCTGCAGCATTGAAGGTCCCCAAGAACACAGTGGCCTCAATCAAATGGAAGAAGTTTGGAACCACCAAGACTCTTCCTAGAGCTGGCCGCCCAGCCAAACTAAGCAATCGGGGGAGAACGGCCTTGGTCAGGGAGGTGACCAAGAACCCGATGGTCACTCTGACAGAGCTCTAGAGTTCCTCTGTGGAGATGGGAGAACCTTCCAGAAGGACAACCATTTCTGCAGCACTCCACCAATCAGGCCTTTATGGTAGAGTGGCCAGACGGAAGCCACTCCTCTGTAAAAGGCACATGACAGCGCGCTTCGAGTTTGCCAAAAGGCACCTAAAGACTCTCAGACCATAAGAAACAAGATTCTCTGGTCTGATGAAACCAAGATTGAACTCTTTGGCCTGAATGCCAAGCGTCACGTTTGGAGGAAACCTGGCATAGTGGTGGCAGCATCATGCTGTGGGGATGTTTTTCAGCAGAGGGACTGGGAGACTAGTTAGGATCGAGACAAAGATGAACGGTGCAAAGTACAAATCAAATCACATTTTATTGGTCACACGTGTTTAGCAGATGTTATTGCGGGTGTGGCGATATGCTTGTGCTTCCAGCTCAGACAGTGCAGTAATATCTAACAAGTAATATATAACAATTTCACAACATATACCCAATACACACAAATCTAAGTAAGGAATGAATTAAGAATATATACAGTACCAGTCAAAAGTTTGGATACACCTACTCATTCGAGGGTTTTTATTAATTGTTTTACTATTTTCTACATTGTAGAATAATAGTGAAGACATCAGAACTATGAAACAACACATATGTAATCATGTAGTAACCAATAAAGTGTTAAACAAATCAAAATATATTTTATCTTTGAGATTGTTCAAATAGACACCCTTTGCCTTGATGACAGCTTTGCACACTCTTGGCATTCTCTCAACCAGCTTCATGAGGTAGTCACCTGGAATGCATTTCAATTAACAGGTGTGCCTTCTTAAAAGTTAATTTGTGGAATTTATTTCCTTCTTAATGCGTTTGAGCCAATCAGTTGTGTTGTGACAAGGTAAGATAGCTTTGCTGGTGACCATCTCCGGTGACCTTCTCCCTTACCTCACCTCGCTCATCAACTCATCGTTGACCGCTGGCTATGTCCCTTCCATCTTCAAGAGAGCGAGAGTTGCACCCCTTCTCAAAAAACCAACACTTGATCCCTCTGATGTCAACAACTACAGACCAGTATCCCTTCTTTCTTTTCTCTCCAAAACTCTTGAGCGTGCCGTCTCTAGCCAACTCTCTTGCTATCTCTCTCAGAATGACCTTCTTGATCCAAACCAGTCAGGTTTCAAGACTGGTCATTCAACTGAGACTGCTCTTCTCTGTGTCACGGAGGCTCTCCGCACTGCTAAAGCTAACTCTCTCTCCTCTGCTCTTGTCCTTCTAGACCTGTCTGCTGCCTTTGATACTGTGAACCATCAGATCCTCCTCTCCACCCTCTCCGAGTTGGGCATCTCCGGCACGGCTCACTCTTGCATTGAGTCCTACCTGACCGGTCGCTCCTACCAAGTGGCGTGCGAGAATCTGTCTCCGCACCACGTGCTCTCACCACTGGTGTCCCCCAGGGCTCAGTTCTAGGCCCTCTCCTGTTCTCGCTATACACCAAGTCACTTGGCTCTGTCATATCCTCACATGGCCTCTCCTATCATTGCTACGCAGACGACACACAACTAATCTTCTCCTTTCCCCCTTCTGATAACCAGATGGCGAATCGCATCTCTGCATGTCTGGCAGACATATCAGTGTGGATGACGGATCACCACCTTCAAGCTAAACCTCGGCAAGACGGAGCTGCTCTTCCTCCCGGGGAAGGACTGCCCGTTCCATGATCTCGCCATCATGGTTGACAACTCCATTGTGTCCTCCTCCCAGAGTGCGAAGAGCCTTGGCGTGACCCTGGACAACACCCTGTCGTTCTCCGCTAACATCAAGGCGGTGACCCGATCCTGTAGGTTCATGCTCTACAACATTCGGAAAGTACGACCCTGCCTTACACAGGAAGCGGCACAGGTCCTAATCCAGGCACTTGTCATATCCCGTCTGGATTACTGCAACTCGCTGTTGGCTGGGCCTCCTGCCTGTGCCATTAAACCCCTACAACTCATCCAGAATGCCGCAGCCCGTCTGGTGTTCAACCTTCCCAAGTTCTCTCACGTCACCCCGCTCCTCCGCACACTCCACTGGCTTCCAGTTGAAGCCCGCATCTGCTACAAGACCATGGTGCTTGCCTACGGAGCTGTGAGGGGAACGGCACCTCCGTACCTTTAGGCTCTGATCAGTCCCTACACCCAAACGAGGGCATTGCGTTCATCCACCTCTGGCCTGCTGGCCCCCCTACCTCTGCGGAAGCACAGTTCCCGCTCAGCCCAGTCAAAACTGTTCGCTGCTCTGGCACCCCAATGGTGGAACAAGCTCCCTCACGACGCCAGGACAGCGGAGTCACTCACCACCTTCCGGAGACACTTGAAACCCCACCTCTTTAAGGAATACCTGGGATAGGATAAAGTAATCCTTCTTACCCCACCCCAAAGAAGAAAAAAAAAACATATTGTTATCCCACTGGATATCCCACCATAAGGTGAATGCACCAATTTGTAAGTCGCTCTGGATAAGAGCGTCTGCTAAATGACGTAAATGTACATGTAAATGTGACACTGTCTGTGATTTATTTAGAATTCAAGGCACACAACCAGCATGGCTACCACAGCATTATGCAGCGACACGCCATCCCATCTGTTTTGCGCTTAGTGGGACTATCATTTGTTTTTCAATAGGACAATGACCAAAAACACACCTCCCGGCTGCGTAAGGGCTATTTGACAAAGAAGGAGAGTGATGGAGTGCTGCATCAGATGACCTGGCCTCCACAATCACCCAATCTCAACCCAATTGAGATGGTTTGGGATGAGTTGGACCGCAGAGTGAAGGAAAAGCAGCCAACAAGTGCTCAGCATATGTGGGAACTCCTTCAAGACTGTTGGAAAAGCATTCCTCATGAAGCTGGTTGAGAGAATGCCAAGAGTCTTCAAAGCTGTCGACAAAGCAAAGGGTTCTTCAAAATATATATTTTGATTTGTTTAACACTTTTTTGGTTACTACATGATTCCATATGTGTTATTTCATCGTTTTGACGTCTTCACTATTATTCTACAATATAGAAAATAGTAAAAATAAAGAAAAACCCTTTTGACTGGTACTGTATATATATATTTTGTATTTTACCCCCCAATTTTCAATCTTGTCTCATCGCTGCAACTCCCCAATGGGCTCGGGAGAGGCAAAGGTGGAGTCATGCGTCCTCCGAAACATGACCTGCCTAACTGCGCACCTTAACACCCGCTAGCTTAACCCAGGAAACACTGTTCAACTGGCAACTGGGTCAGCCTGCAGGCACCCGGCCCACCACAAGGAGTCGCTAGAGTGCGATGAGCCAAGTAAAGCCCCACCGCCCAAACCCTCCCCTAACCCGGACGACGCTGGGCCAATTGTGCGCCGTCCTATGGGACTCCGACCACGGCCGGTTGTGGCACAGCCTGGGAATGAACCCGGGTCTGTAGTAGAGAACTGTGCCACTCGGGAGGCAGACAACATCATTTTTCATTTGTCAGTGTCAGCAGAGTAAGCTACCCTGTAATTTTTGTAGTATTTAAAAAAATGCATGAGCGCACTTGGGTGTCCCGTACCGGTAAGAAATTAAATAAAAAAATTAACTAAAACAAAAAACATATTTAAAAAAATCTACTTTCACCCCTGCCTATACATCAGATTGAACTATTGTAAAAAAGAAGACCCCTAAAAAGGAGTAACCTCCCTCTCCATTCTACTCTACAGAGAGAGCTGAAGGTCCCTGAGAGAGGCTGAGACGAGAGGAGGGACAGGAAGTGGACACATTGACACAGCCACACACACAAATGCATGGACAAACACGCACACACCACACACACGTAATTAACAATGATATCATGGGAAAACATGTATTTTCTTAAACCTTTTTTTAACTATGAATGATGATTGATGTATTTATGTTTAGCAAATAGCAATACAATTGCACCTATTATTAAAATAAAGGCTTGAGCAATCCAGAGTGTGGGCCCCATTTAATCAAATGTATATATCGAAAACCTTCAATCACACCCTTACAATCGTAAGGTGTTACAATCGTAAAAGACAAGACTGGGGGTTAGTGAGTGTTGGTGTTAGTTGATGCACAGGAAAACAATGCTGTTTGTTAGATGGTGTTAAGGTCTAGCCTGCACCACTATCAGCCGTATGCAGGGGTGCATGGGTTGTACCACTCTCAGCCGTGTGCATGCTTGTGCCATACTTACACAGGTCTGCCTGGCCCCTACACTGCTGGCTCTAGTAGGTACTGAGGTGGGCCCATTTCTGGTTCTGTTGACTGGGGAGGGTCTTTTAAGGGCAGATGTGGGTCTAGTTTTGGGTGTCTTTGTATGATTGGAAGCAATGAGTGTAAAAAATTGTTTGAATACCTTGAAAGTAAATGATGAAATGTTATGAAACAGGCACGGATTCACAAATGAACGGTATGAGTTAAAGGTTCATACTGATTAGGAAATATGATTTCAAAAAAGGTTTTCAATGACAAATTAAGAGGAAATGTGTAGCATTGTCCATTGTACTGGTATGGCCAAAATTACCTACCTTCTTATCAGCATTGTCGTTTTCAATCTTCGCTTGAGCTGTGGAAGAAAAAGGGGAAACAGACATTTAGCATATTGGACTCTTCAGACAAAAATATCTATTGCCCTTTTTTAGCTCACCGAGTGAACAAACTTTGAGAGGCCATCGGCATGTTTCTTTGTATGTATGTGTGCATAGGGAAGTGGAGACCAAATGAAAGACAATCACAAAGATGTGGAACTCTCAAAAACATGCACAGTGACAAACTGTAACACACAGGACTTGTTGACTGGAAACACTCAAGGCATTTGTGAGATCCGTAAACCGTAGTGGATTTTGGGTCTGCAAGGCCAGCAGAAAGAGCAAGACAGACAGAAGGAAACAGAAGCAAGGGGAAGGGAGAGGATGACAAGCTTATCCTCAGCCAAACGTGAAGTTCCATAGCACATTTTCAGGGGAGCGAATGCTGCATAGCATACGGTAGCTGTTTTGTAAAATAAAGTGGAAGAAATTAACTGAAGAAGATTTAGTTTGGGATTTGGTGAATAGAACTGCAAACAGACCTTTGAATATAGCAACCGGGACCAATGACTTTCTTGCGGGAGAACTTTGGGGAATTTTCTGGAGTTCACTTGTGGTCTTGGTAGACTGTACAACATCTCTCGTCTTGGGATCCTCAACAACATCAGGTATGGACAGATGGCTTGCTCTTTCTAATTCTACAACAGGGTTAATTACACCTATGTCAGATAATACTGTTGTCAAATGTTTGACACTCTCAGAAGACACCATGTTTCCATTGACCTGTGGCTCTATTTGTCCCTCCAGCTGGTTGTCCACATCGAAATGGGCAGTGTCCTTTAAAGCTGATGAGATGGCTTCATGTACCTCCTGTAGATGTTCTGAATAATGTCTGGGGCTTCTGTCCACTGGTACAGAGTTTTCCAGAACAAAGTGGGAAGAGGATGGACTGTGAACTGGGAAGGAATCAGGGCTTCCTGGCACAAACTGCTTAGATCCAGTATTAGAAGCAGCAGCAGCCTGTTGGAGAGATTTGGCATAATCGAAAGCCAGTCCTTGTTTTGTGGCTTCTTTTGAAATCCTTAGACCCTGGTCTTCATCTACCCACAATATATTCTCTTCAACGGAGGTGAGGTCCTCAAAGGCTGTGCTGCGGACTAAAGAGGTGCCCAGCGGATCACTCTGCCCAGAGGAGCACTCAGGTGCATCAAGACTGACCGCTCTCTGAGAATCTGGACTGACCCCCCTGGCGGATGGGAGGTCCCCTCTCCCTCTCCCCTCTGACCCCTGGGTATGGTCTCTGGAGGTCCATAAAGAGTTACTCAACTTCTTCCCAAAGTCCCCTCGCCCCTGTGCCCCCTCTGAGTGTGCAGCTTCAGAGTCCAGAGAACAAGAAGCTCCCAAGGTCTTGAAGCCAAGTCCTGCCCCAATCTCTGTGTCTTCAGCAGCTTCTGATCCACTAGGCGGTGCCAACACAAATCCACTGAGGATTCCCACACCAGGTTCCTCTAGTTCTTTTGAAAGGCAGATTTAATGGTGAATTTACTCCACTCTTTTCCGTCTCCCCGTTAAAATGTTATTCGAGAAGAAGTAAAGGAGAAATTAATTTGACAGTGAACTACATAGTCATGATTTGGAGAACACAAAAAATTATACATGTTTAAAAAAATTACTGCTGCCCTTCATTGGAGAAACCACATAAAAGTTTTTTAAAAATTATGTTTTTTTGTTTATAATGGTGTCGTGAAAGCAGTCACAGGACGCTTTCTGCATCTGTCCAGCAGCTATGAAAAGTGCGGAATGGATAGAATGGTTTTATAAAATGCACATAACAACTTACATTAACATTAATTATGTAAAGATAGACAAAATGCTTCACAACTGGATCAGTGGAAAAGATTGACAACAGATGACTATGAGACAAATGTAAACATAACTGTGAGATGTGCTGGGATGATGTGCTGTCATACACACTGAATGATGCATATTTAATTCCAAAATGTGCCTTTAAACAAATATGTCTAATTATGCTGATAACTTTTGAACATGCATCATAGTCTTTTAAACAGTTATCATAGCAGTTTATACTACTGTATTATATTTGGCACTTTGGCACCAATAGTATTGTAGCAGTTATGGCTAATATCATAAAATAGGGCTCTGGACATCATCTGAGATATACCCAAAGCGTTAGCAAACATTGTCCATAGTGTGATCGACTAAAATACCTGTTGGGGCTGCTCCTCCAGTCGCTGTTCAAACACGATGAGGCAGTGCAGAGAAACAAAAAGAGGATCCAACTATTTTAGGTCTTGTCAAACACATTACATGCTAAAGTGCATAACATCCAAAAGAACCATACAACTGCAAAGAAAGCAAAGCAGCCTAGATTACTTTACACCATGCATACAGTCTTTGGTTAATGCACAAAAGCCACAGCAACTCATCTTTACCTCTGCATTTTCCACATACATCAAAACAAAGTAATTCGATTAAACAATTCATATCTAAATCCAGCTGTGTGTGTGTGGGTGGGTATAGGTATTGTTAGATGTGGGAGATGCTGAGCCTGACACATTGTTTTAATTTCAAATCATGGTCCAACACGACACCTAACCTGGTTTTCCTTCTGGCTGCACAGCAACTGTGTTCTCCATTATTGTGGCATCCTCCATATCTGAAGGCTCCTGATCTGTTTAACATATCACAGGGTCCTTTCAACATGCTGTTTCCCCTTTCTCTTGGGCTATGTAACATGTAACATGGCGTGCAGTGTACTACAATACCCATAATGCTATGTGTAACATATCCGGTTTCTATCTGTTTTCAGAATGGAGGCGTGTGTTTTGATCCCACTGCTGACACTAGTATGTATCTTTAGTAGTTCTAGTTGAGATACTGTACACAATGGTATTGTGTATGGACCAGGGGAAAAGTTATGCTTTGTGATTTGTCTGCTACAAACTTGACCACACACACAAAACCAAATGCACTGGGGGAAATTAATGAGAGAAGTAAGAGTATTAAGAAAATTAAGAGTGATTCATAAAAGACAAAAGGGAAAAAAAGGTTAACCCAGAAATAACATTAAAGTAAGCATTAACGAAAGCCAAACAAAAACAAACTCTCTTCAGGTTATGGCTTCTGAAACCAACAAATAGTTAAAACAATATTAAGCTGATACAGTACATAATATAATTATGTTACATACAAAAGAGGGGCAGAACCAGCTATTAATATAAAATAACAACATTAGAAAGGTTTAATGCAAAAGACAGTGGTGGTTCTGGTACCAGGTTGCACCTCCTCCCCAGAGGCGCAAAGGTGCACCTCCTCGTCACAGGGGGTGCTCTCCAGTTCAGAGAGCTCAGACTGTGGTTCAGCCACCCTGTCCTTTGGTGTGGCTTCCTCAGGCTCCACTGGGAGAGAAATGCACGCTTTAGGTTAGAAACCTGGTTGGGCATGTCATGGATTAATAAATAACAATCTGCTTATTTTGACCGATGATCAGAAGGCAAAATACAAAACACAGAGCCAGACACAATCAATCAAACTGAGAAGAAAGCAAAGGTTAGTCATATAGGTTGTCATACATTTGTAAAGCAAAATAAAGTCTGCAAACCAAAAAACAAGCTTTCTTGGGGTTATGGCTCTGAAACAAATGAATAGTTTAGCAATATTAAAATGGTATCCTGCATAGAAACACAGACTGTACATAGTGAAGGATTTTTTATTTTTTTATGGATAGAAAAAACATTGGTATTAAAGCTGAATGCAAAGTGCAGTGGTGGTGGTGGGGGCATACCAGGGTGCACCTCCTCATCACAGGTCTTGCTCTCCAGTTCAAAGAGCTCAGACTGTGGTTCAGCCGCTCTGCCCTCTACTGTGGCTTCCTCAGGCTCCACTGGGAGAGAAAGGCAAGCTTTAGATTAGAAACCTGGGCCGTGTTCAGAAGGACACACCGTAGGAAAAGGTTATGAAAGGGAAAATGTAAAATTAATGTTTCATATTGGACATGTGCATGTAGTCCATGCTGTTTCAGTCCGTTTGGTGCCTAATGAACACAACTGCAACTTCATCTATCTGTGCCGATGGTGTGTAGTACTGAAAAACCTCCTCCACATTTTCCACACACCAAACACTGGTTATGGAAGTAGTGAATATCAACAAATGCTGTGAAATGGAATCAAAAATACCTTTATTTCAACATTTAAACCCAGCCATTGGGTATTATTGTAATGTTTAGTCCCTAAATCCAGGCTTAATGTTGCACCCGTTGACCAGCTCTGTAATTCCCCTTTCAGAGAATGGCGCCCGTTCCTTTAGCGCTTATCGCACCATGATCAAGATTGTTACATCATCAAACAATCAATTGCCAACGTATTTCAGTGCAAGTGACAATTATTTAAGTTAGCAGTAGTCAGTCTGGCAATTAAATGGAAATTGCTGAAAGGGCGAAAACCAGCTCTTTAATCATGAAGAATGATCACCAATTGCTAATGACTTCACATGATCTCATATACCACTAAACTACACAAAACACGCTTGACTCCATTGTGAAGTAAATATTTAGTATCTACACTAGAAGACTACTAACAAATCACAGTGGTCTCCCGTAACTACTAGTTAGTAGAGTGTACTCACTATGTGCCGTACAGTCAGCGCACGTGCTGTTAAGCTCTGTGGAGGAACCTGACTCAGAGCGGTGTAGCTTCCTGCTCGTCCAAGTGGTAAGGGGAAGGGCGAAGGGGGAGAACGAGTGCACTAGTGAGGGCTGTAAACTGGGGAAAGCTAGACTACGTACTACTAGGCCAGAACAGCCATTTGGGGGCACAGCAGGAATAAAAAGAGAAGGTTATCATCGTTGTTGTTACATTTGTTGCAACACAACAGCAACCCCATTGTGAAAGGTTGGCAACAGTACAGCTACTGTGCTCTTCTCTCCTTTGTAGATAAAGTGCCTTCAGAAAGTATTCACACTAATTGACTTTTTCCACATTTTGTTGTGTTACAGCCTGAATTAAAATTGTATAACATTTAGATTTTATGTCACTGGTCTAAACACAATACCCCATAATGTCAAAGTGGAATTATGTTATTTTTTCAACAATGAAATGAAAATGAAAAGCTGAAATGTCTTGAGTCAATAAGTATTCAACCCCTTTGTTATGGCATACCTAAATAAGTTCAGGAGTAAAAATTAGCTTAACAAGTCACATAATAAGTTGCATAGACTCACTCTGTGTGCGATAATAGTGTTTAACATGATTTTTGATTGACTACCTCATCTCTGTACCCCACACATACAATTAGCTGAAAGGTCCCTCAGTCGAGCAGTGAATTTCAAACACAGATTCAACCACAAAGATCAGGGAGGTTTTCCATTGCTTCACAAAGAAGGACACCTATTGGTAGATGGGTTAGAAAAGGGAAGCCTGTGTATGAAAAAAAGGAAGCCTGTACAGAATAAAACATATTCCAAAACATGCATCCTGTTTGCAATAAGGCAATAAAAGTAAAAATGCAAAGAAAATTGGCTAAGAAATTAACTTTATGTCCTGAATACAAAGCGTTATGTTTGGGGCAAATCCAACACAACATATCACTGAGTACCACTCTTCATGTTTTCAAGCATGGTGGTGGATGCATCATGTTATGGGTATGCTTGTCAATGGCAAGGACTAGAGAGTTTTCTTAGGCTAAAAATAAACAGAATAGAGCTAAGCACAGGCAAAATCCTAGAGGAAAACCTGGTTCAGTCTGCTTTCCAACAGACACTTGGAGACAAATTCACCTTTCAGCAGGACAATAACCTAAAACTCAAGGCCAAATATACACTGGAGTTGCTTACCAAGACAACATTGAATGTTCCTGAGTAGCCTAGTTACAGTTTGACTTAAATCGGCTTGAAAATCTATGGCAAGACTAGAAAATGGCTGTCTACGAATGATCAACAACCAACTTGACAGAGCTTGAAGAATTCTAAAAATAATAATGTGCAAATATTGTACAATACAGGTGTGCAAATACTTATCTAATCAAGATACAGTTTATTCGCTTTTTTTTTTTTTTTTTTTTACCAATATTACAATTTTTCTTCCACTTTGACATTACAGAGTATTTTGTGTAGATTGTTGAAAAAAATTACAATTAAATCCATATTACCGGTAATCCCACTTTGTAACACTACTTTCTGAAGGCACTGCAATACGCCATCAACGCCATGGGAAAAACCTCCCTGTAGCCAAGGCTTTCCCTACTGTACTGTATCTCCCCATTCCTTCCTAGTCTTAGCCTTCCATTGACTACCCATTTGATTATTAATGTGCCTTTACAAAAGGTTAAGGATCTATGTACTGTCCTGAAAGCTTGATTGTTTACAGGGCTGAATTGGTAACAGTGGCGGTGGATGGAGGTGCAGGGAGCGTTCTGAGGCCCTGACCCAGATCCCTGTATTGCAGAGCAGGAGAGCGCAGCTGCAATCTGGGGACTGAAAGCCCAGTCAAGCATGCCTTGTTTGCTTTATGTAAAGGGATTAAAACAAAGCACAATCAGAAGCCTCAGCCTCTTGGCCCATTCATTGCAGAACATTTTGACTAGGAAATGGCATGTGCCTTTAGAGAAAACAAAAAAAGCTCATCATTCAAGACATTCATCTAGATATGGCAGTCTTGGGCACGTTTTTGTGGCTAGGATAATGCTTGTTGACTACAAAGCTACTCTCCGCCCACTATGCCCACACAGATCCAACCCATTTGCTTATGTGAAGCTATAAAAATAAGCTGTGTAAGTGAAGTCATTTGTTGTGTTCTTCCTGACTACAATTAGTACCCCTAATCACACTTTTCTGGCTCATGCAGTTTTAATGAAGACTTAATTTTTTCTTTTACCCTTCAAGCTCCTTTGCACGCCCATCCTCTAAGGCTATTTTGGGCCTCGCTGTAGTAATAGCCTCAATAAAACATCCCTCTGTTTCTATCAGGAGGTTAATTGAGCAAGCGTGTGCTTTGATGGGCTGTGCTAGTTTAGCAGCCTATTTTACAGGCTGATAGATAGATATAATAGCTGACCTTTCATGGGGCCATCCCCTGGGCTCCTGTGCCCCAGCTGGACCCCGTTCTCCTGGTGATGCAGGTCGTTGATGGTCATGCCGGCTAAGGAAGCGCTCATGGTGTCCCCGGAGTTGTAGCTGTAGGTGTTAGGGGCGTTGTTCATATAGTCCTGGTGTTGATCCATAGCAAGTCGGGTTCAGGCTATACAAAAGAGGAGCAGAAGAAAGTGCCAAATATACAGTTACCCCAAAAAATGAAATGCGCCAGTGGCAAAGATGTCGGAATTCAGATAAGACGTCATTGGTTTAGCGCTATCCACTTTTAAGAACCTCTGCTATTGAGCTCACCAGAGAATGTCAATTTCATTCAAGGTGGATCAAGTCAAATTGTGTTGCATTGGAGAGCCTATTCCTCTGAGAGCTACAGGTGACTATTGGAATCCAATAGAGATAATCAATGATGCAAAGGAACTTGCCAGTACCTGGTTCTGAGAATTTGCCAAGTAATTCAATGAACAACCTTTGAAAGTTGAAGAGTCTCTTCCGCCTGACATAAGCCAGTCAGTCAGCAGTGGCTCAATGTAAACAGACACTGCGCCTGTGAAAATCTGGTTATTTATATTCTTAACATGGGGGCCTGGTGTAGAGTTACAAGACGAAAATAGTTCCCTGTGCCCATGTGCGTTGTGTCCTAACTGTGATACCTCGCACTTCCTAAACAACCAGAGACCGCCTCAGTGTTTTCCTCCTTGAGATTCACTTAAACTCAATCAGACGGACACCGAGCTTATATTTATCAGTGACCTCACAGAAGTGAAAAGCCACTCAACTTTTAAGTTTGAGGTTTTAGCCAAGATATTTATTTATTATTGTTTTTCAGTAACATGTTTAGAAATATGTCATTAAGATGTGTATCAACCATCAAGGAGGTAGAGACCAGTGTATGAGGACATGCTCGCTCCACCAGATAGCTGTGAATGGCTTCAAATCTCATAAAATGAGGATTACATACTGTATCAGATTAAATCAAAGCCTATGGTTACGTCAGCATTTTTTATATTTCTATCCGTTTTTTTCAGCTTTCGCTCTCTCTCATACACCACGCACATTGCCTTTTGATACCCTAACCTAGGAGTTAGGTTAACGGGTTAAGGTTAGCTAACATGCTAAGTAGTTGCAATGTAGCTAATTAGCTAACATTTGTTAGATGTCTGTGATGAGATTTGAACACACAACCTTTGGGTTGCTAGACGTTCGCATTATACGCCCACCCATTCCCCCCGACCATTGTTTCTGTCTTAAGTAACCTACTGTCTTTATCTGTGATTGAAATGCACTATATACAAAATCGTGTACTGCACACAAAAAATATACTTTTTTGTGTGCCTGTCACAAATTTCCAATAAGCAATTTGTGTCTATTTCACAATAATATGTGATACTGGGTTGGTGTGGGCTGCTTGGCCTGAACACCTGACCTCCACTGGGTGCACCAGCATATCTTCTGTCCTTGACTGTTAAGACAAACACACTCCTGGTCCTCATATATAGCACAAATGAGAAGTCGTACCATAGTAGGCCATAGTACCCACCAGACCAGGGAATCAAGCCCTCAGAGCACCCCAGATTAGGAACCCTTAACCGGTGTGCAAAAGCCCCTGCTGGACAGTGATCTCGTTAGTATGTGTGGCAATGTGCAACTGAATTATTCATTAAATATGTATTGAAATATGTAACTGTACATTTATAAGTAAAGTGATGGGTGTGAGGCAATAAAAAGTATAACTAAAAAGTAATAAATAGAATGTTTAAATTGTTAAAATGTCATTGACGATATAATTATTTTCTGCATCCCACATACAGGTAACTGCCAAAATAGAGAAACACAAACATTTAGAGAAAACACCATTGAGAACGCACAACGACTATACCACTTAGCTAAGCTAAGAATGACGTGAATAATCAAGTCAGTAAATGTTGGGCAGTTAATTAGATAGCATATAATTACTATACTGGCAAGTTCCATGTATTAGTAACCAACTAACATCAGGTAGCTAGCTAATTTACAGGTAAATACAAGTAACTGCTGTAATGATATGCTATGCGGTTCGTAAGGCTAGCGTAGCTAACAAATTGTCAGCCAACATAACGTAACAAATTGTCAGCCAACATAACGTGTAACGTAACTTATTTGAAAAGTCATTACTTTATTACATTGCTCAACATTTTCTTAACATTTGTCATAATTAGCTGAAGCAATTATTTTGTATCCGCTCTCGTCCGACTTTGGCTACAAATGTTCCACCATTTTCTTCAAATCTGAAAATTTTGTGAAGCCACGACCATTTTTGGAAGAATTGCATTTTAGTGTATACTACATATTTTGGCAAATGTAGTACGACATCCGGGAACTTTTGGCATACTAACCATATCCATACTATGACCAATAAGCATACGACATACTCAATTTGTCACAAATAGTATGGCTAGTGCGGTTAGTATGAGTATTCGAACACCGCTGCTGTCTCAGGCGCCGCTCCAGAATCTACCATACGTGTTCAATTGGGTTGAGGTCTGGTGACTGAGACGGACATTGCATACGGTTTACATCGTTTTCATGCTCATCAAACCATTCAGTGACCATTCGTGCCCTGTGGATGGGTGCATTGTCATCCTATGGGGCATAGCCATGGTGGCCAAAATAATGACCTGCCCAGCATTTTTATACATTTACATTTTAGTCATTTAGCAGACGCTCTTATCCAGAGCGACTTACAGTTAGTGAGTGCATACATTTTTCATACTGGCCCCCCGTAGGAGATGAACCCACAACCCTGCCGTTGCAAGCGCCATGCTCTACCAACTGAGCTACAGGGGACTTTTGTCACATACACGTGTTTAGCAGATGTTATAGCGGGTGTAGCGAAATGCTTGTGCTACTATACATTACCTTAAGTATGATGGGATGCTAACTGCTTAATTAACTCAGGAACCATACCTGTGTGGAAGCACCTGCTTTCAATCTACTTTGTATCCCTCATTTACTCAATTGTTTCCATTATTTTAGCAGTTACCTGTATATTCTACCACAAGGGCATAAATGTTAACTTATGCAGTTACTCTCAATACTTGACACAACTCCCTCACAACACTCCCATTGTGGATTTACACAAAACAGAAGTCAAACAACAAGTGAGCTGCTGCATCTGTGCCAAAGAAAACAATCGCTCAAAGAAAGTTGACGCTCCATGTCCGGGAGCTTTCAGGATTAGGAGAACTAACAGAGGCAAACCCAAGGTCGAAAATAACTAGATCCCTTATCTAATAACCAGCATATCTATGTTATGCTATGCCTCTATGCTTCAGTCCCCAGGTCGGCAACACCAATTTCTCCCCATGTTATTCATTTGTCAGGGATAGTGCCTATGATCCTGCTTTGAGAATCCACCCCTCTTAAAAAAACTAAACATTTGATAAACAACAAACAAAGACGCTTCACCAGGTTATATTTTGCGGTAGAAGGAGCTGCATTCAACAGAGACATTCCCACTGGGCACAGACGTCAATTCAAGGTCTATTCCACGTTGGTTCAATGTAATTTCATTGAAATGGTGTGGAAACAACGTTGATTCAACCAGTGTGAGCCCAGTGGGTTCTAACGGGTTGCTGTTGGCACTAAAATAAAATGTTTGAGGACCAGTCTCTTGCAACAGAATTCAATCTTCGTTGGCTTCAATTTCAACTGCTGAATAAAACAAGGACTTTATTCCGTGTTAGAATTTCATGAATGCACAGAAAGGTCGGCTCTGACTTGCATCTGATCCCACGTGGAGCGTGTGAAAATGGGATCTTGGCAAACAGGCCCTGGTTCGAAAGCAAGCCCAGCATAGACGGCGACAGAAAGAGCATGATCAACAAAGATATTGACATAGCTCTGGGAGAACAAAGACGGGCCCAAAGAAATTACTGACATTATTACTGTGAACCAACAGAGAGCCCTTCTTGACATATTGAACCACTTATTTTCTGAAGACTCTAAATGCCAAGGCCAAGGTAAATGAAATGGGGGTATTTGCTGACTTTTTCTTTTTGTCAAACTAAGGAATTTCTACAAAGAAAATATACAAATTTGTCTTAAAACCCCTAAAGGGTTTATGCCAAGCAAAAGGCCTCTGTTCATCAAAGCAGCAGTTGTAATGACTGAGTAAAATCATGAAAAAGGGTTCCACCAAAGATGACAGAGAATCAGTAACAAACTGTAAAAATGATCAAACCACTTACAGTCTGTAATTCAAACGGGGAATTGATTTTCTAGCCAGTTCAATGGATTGCGATACAAAAACAAAAGGTTTGCGGATGCAGTGAGTGTATCTGATGGCATGCTCACTATTGCTGCGTGAGCTAGCTAATACTAGTTTAGCTGTGAGCCTAGGATGCTGCCCTCATGCTTGACTGCTTCTGTATCTCTGACCTACTTTCACCATGACTCCCTCTGTACACTCCTAGACTCCATCCTCAGGCAGGAAGTAGTACCATAGAAACAACACTGAACTCTACCTTTAAAATAGGCCTACCAAGTGGCTAAGGATAACCGTTAAAGTGAGCCTCATTTTTCGCATCATACTGCTGGAAGCTAGTGAAACAGCTTGCAGCACAGCCTGCGTAATGAGTATGGCTCACTCAGCATCCGATGGCAGCACGTCATTGTCCGCAATCACACGTTGGCTTAGAAACTGTGGGCATACTTTTCACAGTGGTGGGATTTTTTTTCTCCATGTCTTTGGCTTCATGACTCAAGGCTAAGAGTCCTCCTCGACATTTAATTCAGGATTGGGAAATGTCCTTTTTTTAACCAACAATTACAGAGTGTTGAAGATATTTTTTGTCTTTCATTTTGGTAACGCTTCCTATAAACATTTATAAGGCCTTATGAGCAATGCATAATGCATTCATAAAATGCACAACAGAGGTGCTAATAAGTAGTTTTCATTCATTTACAGTCGATTGAAGCTTACCATTTTCCTTAGACGCTGGAATTCAGGATATATGGAATTCTGACACTGTCGTGATAGAGCCTGAACTGTGAAGGCCTCAGACGCTGCAGCTGTTGCATGTTCCAATATGTACACAGTGCCTGCAGCTACAGTACGATCCGCCACACACACCCCCATCTGCCACTTTAATGA